ACAGTGAAAACATTCAATAGCGGAGATGGATCACTTGTTGAACTCTCCCCCACACTGGCTTAATAAAACCATGGATCTGAACTTGGTTTAGGCTGTTTCATTACTGGTGTGGAGGCTGATCCAAATCGTAAATTTCAATATATGCTTAATTGGATTCAGGTCAGGGCTTCTGGCTGGTCAATATATTGTAGCAACTCCCTCCTGACACAGAGAAACAACAACAGCACACGCACGTCGTGACCTAACGAATACCTTTAACTCTCAACAGTGTAAATGTAAAATCATATGAAAGGTAACCCCGTAGATAGCGCCACCACCGAACAGAACCTGCTCTAGGATGTACCTACGTCGCCATACCCGTGTTCTACCATCAGTTATGAACAAGAGAAAGCGACTGTCATCCGACCAGCGCATTTCCTCCATGACGCCATGTTCCACTGGTGGTGTGCTCAGCACCATGCCAGTTGTGCAGATTTATGGTCACGTGACAAGAGCGTTCGCCTGATGCGTCTCTTAGCGCCATATCCTGCCGATCTGAGCCGATTATGAACAGTTCTGTAAGATAGGGGGCGGTGAGGTAACCATTCGCTTTTTAACATAGTTCATTGCGCAAAAGAACTGAACCTTGACATGCAGAGGTACTGCGAGGTCTCTAGTCTGTTTTTAAAATAATCGGCTAATGGTCTCATTGACATCATAACATTCCTCATACCATTAACTTGCCATCTTTTCGCCGTAGTGAGTTGTCGGGGTCTCATTGTGAAATGCAGCCAATGAACACAGCGATTTCAGTACTTTACTCGATGCTATGCCGGTTTTCTCAAACATTCTTTTCATGACGCAAGGGATTCACGGCAGCTTTCACTGGTACATACTGGGGACAGAGTATATACAAATGCCCATTCCAATTTCGCATATATTTCATCTATACTAATATTTGTGACTGTCGTTTGTCTGTCTGTTCGGGGTTGGCGGCTACACTAGGTCTGCCCCGAGTCTGAAATTTGGGGTATAGGGGTAGCTCGGACCGGGGAGTAACATAGGCCAGGTGGCGTTAGTCTACCACTTCCGGTTTCGGGGTTATGACCCCCGAGCGAAGCCGGGCATTCTTCTAGTTATGTAATAAATGTCATTTGAGCGCATAAACATTCGGGTGTTGCAATACTTTTTAATCATAATGTCACTACTGCAGTTGCCCCTCTCATACCTTTCATCCCGCAAATTTTGTTAACTTAAGTTTATTTGTATACCATATGTGTCACCTTTACCACAAAATAATTATCATACTTACTGTCACCATAAAATTCTGAAGTTGGATTTTTAGCAATTCCTCCAGATTGTTTTGTAAGTTTCCCATCCGAAGGACTTGATGATAAATATTCTCTAGTGGCATCTTCTTGTTGTACAATAGATCCAATATTATTTATATATAACTTTATATAATCTGTTTTATATGGATCAACATCTTTCACTCCAAACCTATATAGAAAAACATTTTCCTATACATACAACGCATAACATACAATAAGTAAACAGATTCTACTGTATGCATTAACAAAGGTATTGTACAATATAACATTTCTAATAATTTTTTGTGGGTATCGGGAATTTGAAAGTGTCTTATCTCAAAGGTAAATTTAGGAGTAGCTGAGGCGTTATACATTTTTACAATAAACAATTAGGATGAGAGTAATATATATATCTGTGGTTAATCATACCATCCTTGTGTAATGGCTGCTTCATTTTCATTATTTCCAGCCCACACAATAATGCTGGGATGATGTTTTAGGCGTCTCATCTAAAACAAACACGGATATCAAATAAAATTCCATGATTTTGCAAACAATAAATTCCTGACTATAAAGGATCTTTATTTAGATTAGATGTTTTAACATGAATGTTTATTCTAGTTTAAGAAAGTACGTGGTATAGAGATTTATTAGGTATCAATGAAGGATAAGGCAGTAATGAAAAGTTTAGTCTAATATTAAATTGTTGTCTAATTTCTGTATTATAGCAGCAATCTAATATATTGTATGGTATATTGTAGCACAAATTAGACCTTTCCTCGATTTTGATTGGTCGAAAAGTGTCCAAATTAGCAAAAGACACAACTACTATAAATAATAGGTTGATGTTTATACAAAGTTTCATGAAGATGTCGCGTCTCGTGTTCTAATGATTCAAGCATGATTCAATGGACAATAAACCTCCTCTAAATACGAAACAGGAAGTTTTTATCTCCTAAATATGTGTTAATATTAATCTGGTGTCTAGTTTCTATGGTAATAATATTAAGGAAGATAAGTACTGGTAATAATGTAATGTTTACTTAAATATATGGTTTCTTTGGTAACAGTATCAAGTAAAGACATGGTTATAGGAATAGTAATTTAATATTAACCCTGCCTTGTGTTTCTATGGTAACAGTATCAAGTAAAGATAAAGTTAGAGGCATAATAATTTAACATTAAATTGTTTTCTTGTTTCTGTGGTAACAATACCAAGTAAAGATGAGGTTATAGACGGAGTAATTTAATATTAACCCGTTGCGTTGTCTTGTTTCTATGGCGACAGTATCAATTAAAATAAGGCTATAGGCATATAGTATTAACCTGTTGTCTTGTTTCTATGGTAACAGTATCAAGTAAAGATAAGGTTATAGGCATAGTAATATGATATTAACCTGTTGTCGTGTTTCTATGGTAACAGTATCAAGGAATGATTTAGTTGTAGGATATAAAGCTACACTAAACATAAAATCTGACCATATCATAATTCCCAATTCATCAGCTAATTCATAAAAATAGTCACTTTCATAAACCTGTAATATGCAATTGTTCATTATTTAATAATATTGTCCTACACTTTCTCGATGTAAACGCTTTGAAATACAAAGAAAATGCTATCTACCTTCGATTAATTTATAAGCAACTGTGGAAACATTTTCTTTTCTTAACTACGAAAAACTTTTGAAACCTTAAATGGCTAGAGATTTACTTATGGAGTGACACTGGTTATGAAAAGTGAATTCCTTAATTTTCCATCTCCCCATTTAACGGGAGTCGTGATATTTGTCGTGCAATGGCTGGGAAAGTTCCTCAGGATTGTCCAACGTGGGTTCCTTTATCACTGACAATGTCAGTGGTGTGGGACTGGTAAGAGAGATCGCCTAGTTGTTCGGGACGAAAAACCTAAGTCCCGTGTACATTGACTCACAACGGACCCTATCGTAAGATTCACATATATATAGCACGAGCAAATTGTATTGTGTATATTGGACACATTTTGAATTTGTAAATTATATTAAGATATAAACTTACTCCTCCACCCCAAACTCTCATTGAATTAATGTGGACCTCAGCAGCTGATGTTAAAAGTATTCTTATTCTATCATATGTCACTCTCTCTAGAAAACTATCTGATGGAATCCAGTTAGTACCCTTGAAGAATACTGGTACATCATTTATTTTGTAGAAAAAAGTCCGCCCTATTAATAAAGCAATATTTTGATAGATTAAATTATCTTAAACACTAGGCCTTTTTCATACAGTTGCCTGGTGATGGGGTATGCTGACTAATTAAATCTGTAGTTTAGTTATGCTTGTCCTCTTAATATCATATACTTGAAGAGAATTTCAATTTATTATTTTATTTTTTGTTTAGTTTTATCTGGCTACACTCAAATTCTAATACGTTTATCAGATAAAAAATAACTGAAATGGTAAATTTGACCACATCGGCGACGAAATTTATTGCTATTGAAAATCAAAATTTAAACATACATTATGCAAGAGCTAAATCTGCCTATTGTAGGTCTTTCTTATCTAAATCATAAATTATTAATTTATCCAGACCATAATCAACTCTTGATGCCATCGCTTGCCTGCGATATTTAGCGGATTGGAATATATTTTGTAAAGCGAGAAGTAATATTTTTAATATTACATGTTTTATACTTACCATGGTCGCTATTACTTAATGATACAGGTACTTGTACTATTTCAACAGATCTAAATCCAATCTTAATAGTTCTAGCTGTTGATTCCTGGCTTTTATCACTAGTAAATTTGACTGTAAGTTCATATAAAGATTGATTACCATATCCATTTGGCCACCATAGATCTATAGTAGTATCCTGTAAATATTGTGGAAATATTTGTTTTGTTTTTCTTTTTATAAAATGTTTGGTTATGTAAATGATATTGGCGTCGTCATCAAAAAGGTCATATTCGTGAAGTATTCGTGAGGTCTAATCAAACGAATCACTGTGAAGAGGACGCAAATAGGTTAAAGTTTCGTGAGTTTTAATAGACAAGATTAATCACGAAACAACTCTTTCAAAAGCAAACATTCAATTCGTTTCTGTTTTCTTTCGGTTAATATTCCATATTCGGGTATTTTAATCTAGCCAGTTTTACTCAACCTAAATTCGTATCCTTGTTTCGCGTTCATAGTTTTGTACTGTTCACGGCCAATGAAAACGCCGCTATATTCACGTCAAAACTTATTCACTGATCTGCTTATAAATTGGTTTAAGTCACTTTAGTACATCATACAGCCGTCCTCATTTGTAGTATTTTACGAAACTTTTACTTAAACTGACAAAGTTTGCTGAATGCAAGTCTTTTGCACAAATCAACACCTGGTCGGACTACACGTGAGGTAAATCGTCAATTGAAAAAGGACGCGTTTGGAAGTTAATACAACATCAAGAAATTAACACGGATTAAAATGAAAAGAAATAGGGTTTAATGTTTTACTTTTCTGCTCCATTCGGGCCAAAGAAAATGACATGCCATGCAATGTGCTATGAGAGACATTTTGCCAAGACAGTGTCGCATACGACTTACTCATTTTTCGAATTCCTTATTTCGGTTGTTTCTGAATAGTAGATCGTTAAAACCCCATTTCGTTTTGAATTCTAACTGGCATGGGTTCTTTAAAATTGTCTTAATTATTACCTTTGGTATATTCAGAGTATACCGAACACTGCTATTAGCAGAGTTTAATGTAATCAGTTGTGTAAAAGAAACAGGTGTTCCTACAAGTTGTGTTTCTAGTTTTCCTGTTGTACTTCCAGTTCTTACATCAAAATGTACTTCAACATCTACACTCCATGTATTATCACTAGCTAAAATAAAATAAACGACCGAGTTAAAACATTTCAACGGTTTCGATTTTTAAGAGTTTCATTCCAGTTCCAGGTTGGTAAACTTGTCGTGTGTTTGTAGAATAATATTTCTTGGTATATTTTTCAGTATTTAACAGCAGTTTGAACTTCTAGTACAATAATTATGTCTTACCTAGTTTTGTTAAGCCAGAAAATTCCCTTATAACAGTTGTATCAAAAGCCTGTATATAAATTCTCTGCCTAAAAATCAAAAAGAGAAAAAGAGAAAGAAAACAAATGAGAATATTGCTTCGGTCTGCTCAACTATGAGACTCTCGAACCGTACAATTTTCTGTCTATAACAGATCTACACAAAGAAAAGCGTCAAGTACTAAGCATATTGAACTATGATTTATGAATCATTGCTGCCATTTAAACTGGGGCGTATCCAGGTCGGGTACGACATTGCAGCGTCCTGATTAACCTTGAACATGACCACTGATAAAGACAAATGCCATTTTAAGCCCAGAGATCTAAACTAAATTCCTTCTTCTCGTCCCTTCAGTAAGTCACCTAATAAGCTGGAGGGACAATTGGTGCCTTGTTCATCTTGAAGTCTTTATATAATCGACCTCAAACCATTTGAGATCCTAGACAATAACCTGTAATTTGATGCCTCCACAGCCCTCAAACCCTGGGGCACACAACAGAACCCAACCTGCACTCATGTGATCAATGGATTAATTTGGCTCTTTGTCAGTCCCTTATATTTCAGCAACGCTTTGCTCTACACAAGGATAAAAGTACCCCCTGGTGATAATCTGGAAGAAGCTGGCATTTAATTACCCTCTGGTCCAGATTCCTGCTTTTCCAAACCGATTCCTTCACCTTTCGTGGGGAATACAGTATTTGGCCACAGTCATCTTAGGAAAAAGAGCGCAGACAAAGCTTTGCATGTACGATCTTGGTGCGTTGCACTGTCGTCAGCATTGCCTAGTCTCACGGTTTTGATGGAGAATCAGTTTTGCCATAGTCTTTAACGAATTAGAATTTGTTTTCTCAGCTGATGCTTAATAATATATAAATGGCAGACAAAGGGGGTTGATGAAATGAATATTATCAAATTATTGTGCTACTGCTATTGGCATGAAAATAAATCTTACCAGATACCTTGAACAGGAAATGATGGTCCCCAATCCCAGCTGAATGAACACTGAGCTTTACGTATAAATTGAACATGGCATTCGCCATGTTGGGCTGGATCTTTACAATCAGGTGGGATGTTATAAGAGGATTGGTTGGCTAATAATGCAGCTTCGTTTACGGCAGAACGAAAAGCAATTGTTATGGTATTGTTTCCAGCCTATAAAAGTACTGCATTTTGTTATGATAACATATAAATAATAATTTACACCTAAACATGAATGGAGCAAATGCCATTTGGAATTGTTTTCTTATGCAACAGAATTAACCATTTATGGACATGGTCGCAAAGATTGCAATAGGATTACAAACAATCAATTACGGCAGAAACGAACACATTGTTCAAAAAACAAAAGTTGTATACTTAATACTGAAGTTAGGGAACAGGGGTATAGGGACAGAATTGTTCTATGGCCGAATATGATACAATGCACAATCAAGTATACGTATTTTCTTGATGAAAGGGACAATACCTTGCATGTATGTAGCCGTGCGAAATGAACAAGTAACTCTAAACAGATGCCTAAATCGTTTTACCCACTATCTGGGTAGGACGGGGTGGCAAATATAGAATCAAAATTTAACGGTGAATAAAAATCCTTTGTTTTAAATTCTCTGCTCGTCCATGGGGTCCAAATAATTAAAAAGCCAAGCAACTAAATTATTTTAAGAATAATGAAGGTCAAAACTGTAGATATAATCCTATGCATACCATGACACTGTTTTTGATATCATATGTATATCTAACATACATATTTTCTGATGTACCAATTTGTTTTCCATTGATACTGATGGTAGAAAATGTATCAAGTCCTTCTGCTACTAGTACTATATTGTTCTTTTTTATGGAATCTGCACTTACTAAAAGACAAATAAAGGCAAATACAGTTTAAACTAATGGATAAATACCCGTAATACATAGCACACATTTTAATCTTTATTATTGTCTGTAATGTATTTATAAAAGTGTGTTTTTTGATTATCCATCAGACTGATTTTAGTATTTCGTAATATAGTAGCCGTTCACAATATCATGGTTTTATTACATAAATGGGAATATACTTACATTGAAACGATCTGGAGTATGTCCAATCATCAAGCCCAATCCATCTATATTTACCATCATTATCTCTATAATATGGATCTTGTATGACCTTATTACTATATAAAGCTGTATAAACACCTCCGGGTACAGTACCAATAAGTTTATAACCTACACAATAATTCGCAATTATACCACAGGTGAATAAATTATGATTAAATCTTTGTTATAAGGAGCTAAGTGATTAGGGTGCATTGACACGCTTTGCGTTTTGGGTTAAGAGTCTTTGCGCCCCAGTCTCAAATTGTAAAAAAAAAACTGTGGTTTTCAGTGCCTTTGTCGACGCTATTGGCCAATTCTGATCAGCAATAATCATATTGCTTAACAATTTCCAATAACGTGGCTCATAAATGCATCAGATCGACCCTAGCATGGTCCACGCAAGCCCATATCTTTCGGAGAGAACTGCCCCGCCTCCAACGAAACGATATATAGATATGGTGTTTGTGCAACCCCCCCCCCCCCCGTTCTACAATACCTACGGTTTGTGCCGCGAGATCTGCCTAAGTGTGCCGCGAAATTTTGAACGGCACACGAAGAAAATGTGAAAAAACACGTGATCCCAATTGAGCATTCATTGGTGTCTTCTGATAAATTTTCTTCATTTAGTTTGAGTCATTCTTTGTGGCTAAGACCAGTCTCTGTCTACGGCTGTATGCCGTCTGACTTACCATGTTTTATTTTGCAAAATTCAGATATTTTTCATATATATTTAGCCAGGTGTGCCGCTACTTTTTCATGTGTTCCAAGGTGTGCCGTTGGCAAAAAAAAGGTTGAGAACCACTGGTGGAGTATCGATTTCTGGGCTGGAAAACGCGTTAGCGGCCGTCCAATTTTCAAAAAGGTTCGCTGCCCCTCCGCAGAATGTCTCGCTACGAGCCTGCCTCTATGTATAAAAAGAACCATGATATAATTTGGTTGTCTCCAGTATTTGTAAATAAGGACCTTGATAAGGTTTAATAAATTAAGGAACTATACTATTCAAAAAAAGTAGGGGATATTTGATTTTTAAGTGTTATTAAAGTCACCTAATGAAACTGACGAAGAAACAAATGACAAAATGAAATGAAGTTCACATTCATCGATTTATTCCAAATGATCGTTAGACTAAGTAAGGCACAGACTGACCATTATAAGGGTAAAATGATACCCGGGGTCAAACAGCAAAGTTACCACAGCATCACAACCAAGTCAGTAACGGGTAAATCCTCCTCTGTTTGCCAAACAAGCATTGGTCCGACGTGGCATACTCCTAATGAGACGTCTAAGGTCATTTTGGTCCAGATTGTCCCATTCCTGTTGCAACGCAGCAGCAAGTTCTTGGACATTGACAGGACGTTGTTGACGTTGACGTAACCTCTGTCCAAGCATGTCCCAGACATGCTCGATGGGGGAGAGGTCGGGACTCAGTGCTGGCCAAGGTAATGTGGTGATGTTCTGTTGTTGGAGGTAACCTGTAACGATCCTGGCCCTATGGCATCTTGCGTTGTCATCCTGTGCGAACGGCACAACATGGACTGCCAAGATGTTGTCCCGGTAGTACTGGCCTGTAACACGCCCTGCAACAACATGTAAAGCCGTTCTTCCAGCAACAGTGATGCCTCCCCACACCTTAACAGAACCACCCCCAAATCGATCATGTCTGATGACGTTAACGTCTTGGAAGCGCTCGTTTCGACGACGCCACACCCTCCTACGTCTGTCCAAAAAATCAACAGTGAACCTTGACTCATCTGAAAACATCACATTGCTCCAGCGTCGATTATCCCAGTGTTGACGATCCCTACACCAACGACGTCTTGCCTGAATGTGATGATCTCTCAAACAAGGGATCACGCGAGGACGTCGGGCGCGAAGGTGACCCCTATGCAGTCGATTCAGAATCGTCTGGGTACTCACTCTCACACCAGTGTCTGTTTGAAGACGAGCGCTGATCTGATTTGCTGTGATGACACGATTTCTCAAGGCCAAGGTACGGATAAATCGATCCTGGGCTTGAGTTGTCGCCCTTGGTCGACCTGGGCGTGGTCTGTCCTGTACAGATTGTGTATCACGGTATCTGGACCATAGCCTGCTTATGACAGACTGAGAAACATTCATCGTCCGCGCCACAACCGCCTGTGTTGTGCCGATCTGTAGCATGCCAAGGGCACGTAACCTTTCATTTTGGGTAAGCCGACGCATATCAAAATTTGTTTTCTGGTCACTAAAACAATTAAACTGATGTTTCCACCCTGGAATTCAATGCCACAATGACTGTAACATTCAAAGTCAGAGTCGTGCAAATCTTGGGTTGGACCCCCATGATGATCCCAAGCATCACCTGCATTCCATGCGGTAGCTATTGGTGCGTTTGGGCGTCACATGTAACTGGAAATGTTTCTTCTGTTAGGTTCTATAGTGACTTTTTTCGTAGTCATTTGCATATTTTAGTATTATGCCCCCAAAATCAAATATCCCCTACTTTTTTTGAATAGTATACATGCACTCACTTTTGTTACTGTTAGAAATCTGCCATTCGCCGGATAAATCGGTCACAATAATCGCCCTCACTACAGTTGTGAAATAGCAAAGGACGAGAGCCAACACAACCTTTCCCATGAAGAACATTTTACTGACAGCTTTATCAGTAGATATGACACACATTGAAGGGAGATATCGCCGAGAATTTCACTTCTAATAAAAGTGGTGTAACAACTACAAAAAATGTTAATTTAATTTATCTAATAATGTAATTTAGGCCTACAATACAGAGAAATAACTTGTAGACTGTAACAAAATGAAATGAAATAAAATGGGGTTTAACGTCCTACTATTCTGCTCCGACTAGGCGAATGAAGACGGGCATACGCCATACAGTGTGCTATGAGGGAAATTTTGTCGGGACAGCGGCACTACGGCCTAGCCTACTCTTATATCGAATTCTAACTGCCAAGGGATCTTTAACGTGCACGCCAATGTGCACACGGGATCTCGGTTTTTCGTCCCATCCGAACGACTATACGTTGTCCCTTGCCAGGTCCTCAGTCCTACACCACGGACAAGGAGGAACCATGCTGGAAAATCCCGATGAACTTTCTCGGAAAACGCAGGGATCGAACACGTGACCTCCAAGTTAGCGAGCCAACGTTGCACACACTGAGCCACCGTGGCTCCCAGACTGTAACAACATTGTACTGTAACTATGGAGGTATATAGCCTACATCTCTTTGACCGGCATACACTTAATATTTCAGTAATAAATATGTAGCCCACAAGTATCATATCAATGGGATAGGTCTAATAACTTTAACCCTACAGAACTTTTAAAAGCTTTTTTGTCTCAATAAACTTGGCCGTATACATTTCTAGTCACTCGGATGATAATTTTGGCCTCTAGAACGTCCACAAATATATAATCTTTGAAAATCTAAAGGCTTCTTCGTCTACTGAAAATTATCAGTGTGTTAAAACTCTGAAAACGCCAGAGCGTCCATAAATAGTTGTACGGCAGGCGGACGGGCACGGGAGGCGAAAATAATTGGCTACGACAACATGTCCAATACCAATCTGTTGTTGTTGTTCTTAGCGTTTAACGTCCGCTTCCACCGAAGGTGATATCGCAGACAATATAGCAATCTGTTTCACAGAGATCTTTTTATATCTCTGTAACAGATGACTCTTTCGACACGTGACGTCACATATCACGCGGCGTCAATCATATTGGCTCAATAGCGCGTGCATTGTTTACATAAAACGTTACTGATTCGGGTAAATTTTCTATATTTTAATACCCATTTACACTAAATAGGAAATGATTTTTACCTACAAATAATTCAAACGTCTTTATTTATTTTTCTAATAAATGAAAAAAATGTTTTAGAATTTAATTTGACGGAAGAAAAAAGTTAATATTTGGGACCCATGAAGTCGCATCGATATGTCATCCTTATAAGTGATTGTAGCGGCCTAGCGAAAATTCACTGCTGATCAGTGTGGTTAAATAGGGTTCAAAGTAGCTGGGAAAGAAACCAACGCATTGGATTAATTGTGTACTCTCAGTCCACAATCAAAGCTATCGGATAGAGTCCATGATTTGAGTAAGTAACACTCAGAGAAGCGATCGGCCGCGTCACATCTGCAGGAATATCCACTGCCTTATAATTAATGTAACACAATAAGACATATTTCTAGTTTAGTATAGTATAGTTTTTATTTATTGACAGCAAGTCACAGCAAATATTGATTAGCATTTTTCTCCCGGGCAAATGCCCTGCGTCTCTGTGCAACAAGGTGCTGTCGAAAAGAAAAGTCGGAACGATTGTTTCACTCTCGGCTAATTGGTCCGCCCGGTTAACCTAGTCTTCTTTTTAATCACGTGATTTACTCTTCTGGGAAGAAGTTGCGTTAGGTCAATATTTAGATCACGTGCAAAGATGTTTTCGTCTGCATTAATCGTTTCTCTACTTTTTTGTTTTATGAAAATTGATGCAAAGGGGAAGTTAGAAACAGATTTAAATGGGGAATGGTTCATAACTAATAGAAACAGAAGTAGGTTATGTTGCCTAATAATATTTTGTAGCGTGACACATGAAACTGTTTCATAGACGACTCTGCGAAAATTAGTAACTTACTCGAATAATATTTCGGATCTATTGTTAATACGTGTGGGTCGATGGTAATCAATTATAATGTAATTACTTCCCCCTTTTTTTACTTAAAGGAGCTTAATCGCTAATATTTGGTTTCTAGAAATTAACACAAATGGGTCGCAACGCATATAATAATGTAATATGAATGTATATAAACCGATTTACATTCAATCACTTCAGTTTTTACTGTAATTTCTAATCCGCTATATTCGGCGAAATACGCCAGGCACCGAGTTCACAAAGCATTCTCAGACTTCAGTTACTAATTTACTCATCTTTCAATCACTGTTTATGAGAAATATCTTTGATCCAGAAACACAAAAATTTGCTCATAGTTTCTTATTGATGTATTTGATACATTAAAACAACAAATGTTTTATAAAGGTCTATATTTTAGTTAAAATAAGGTGAACAATTTTGAGTAAATTCTTAACTTAAGTCTGAGAATGCTTTGTGAACTCGGGGCCAGAAGTCTCAATCGAATGGCATTCTCTAGCATATGTTTATTCCAGTCTACACCAATAGTCTTTATTGCGTTCTTTGAGTCCCTGTTACAAATGGAGTCGAAACGCATTATGGTACACGATTCGTGTACCAATGGTAAAATGTTTATTTTGTCTTAAATAGTGGATATCAGAAGCCCATCTTTTCCCCGTATGATCACAATATCATTGTTGATTTAAATTGACAATTAATTCGTGTTTTCAATGTCGAAGACTTTGAATGATATTGAGTGAGAGACTTAATTAGCTACTTTAAAGGTGGTCCTACTTACAAACTAGGCTACATTTGTTACTGTTAGCCAAATCGCAAAAAAGAGTTCCAGATAAGTTCTAATTAATTTAAGAAAGTGCAACCACATATTTTGTACAGTAGAGAGGAATATTATGATATCCTGAAATTGGCAGTCCCAGTATTCACAAGTTCAGTTTTAAAGGATCAGATCAAACACCAAAATTTAAAGAAATAGTCCAATCTGCTATTAATTTCCGTATGAAGTCTTTAGGACATGATCTCTAGATTTGCTTAAAATGGGGTTATGATGTACTTCATTAGTTCATTTTAGGAATTCTACTGATCAGTTGCATGAGTAACTTTATAATCCTGATATCAAAGTTATTTATTAATTTTTTCAAACTGCATATCAACATTATTTTAAATATTACTCTTTATTTCCCTAAATATGGCAATTTAAAAAGATATTATGCAATTAAAGATTAAAAAGAGTCTCATTTTTTTTTTAGATACATTTATCTTTAAAAGTAAAATTTTGATTATCTATGAAGTTAATACCATTGGTGATAGCTATCAAATCAATTTGTTGTCCAAACATACTTTTAGACATTTACAAACCTGCTTGTTGGGGTATCTTTTATTGCCTGGCAATGATGTCTTCTGATATATCTTATAATAATTTAAGTAAAGATTTGTTACCTTTAGGATTCAGAATAATAATTTAAGACTAAGCATACTATGGAAGACTCATTTGTAGCAGGGCTTCTCACTGGGGAGATACTTTGCATACTTTTAATACGAAGATTGTATATTCATATCAATAAATATTGTTTCACATGTTCCATTCTCATAGTTAACTCTAATTTATATTATAGGTTTAAGGTTTTCTGGAACTGTACCTGGAGGTGTTTATACAGCTTTATATGATAATAATATCATACAAGATCCATATTATAGAGATAATGATGGTAAATATAGATGGATTGGGCTTGATGATTGGACATACTCCAGATCGTTTCAATGTAAGTATACTGACAACTTTTGAACAGGGCAACATAACTGAAAAATTGTAAACTACAATAAATCTGAAAAAAATTAAGATATATTTTCATTGATTTAAAATTCATATGTTTTTATTTGTCTTTTAGTAAGTGCAGATTCCATAAAAAAGAACAATATAGTACTAGTAGCAGAAGGACTTGATACATTTTCTACCATCAGTATCAATGGAAAACAAATTGGTACATCAGAAAATATGTATGTTAGATACACGTATGATATCAAAAACATTGTTAAGGTATGTATGAATAAAATACATTGAGGAATACAATTTTGACCTGCATTATTTATCTCCTATCTAAAACAGTTCTCCAGATATTCTTTCATAATGTGTTGGGTTGGATGGCCGAATGGCTACCGCGTGCACGTTGTATCATAAGATCTGTCATTGAGTCAACTGGCTTGGTTTTTATTCCCTGGTTGAACGTGACAAGGAGTAGGGCCGCCTGTCCAACCTCGTAGGTTTTCTTCGGCTCCTCCGGTTTCCTCCCAACGCTAAAGACCATATGCGCAAGCGAATTATTGAAATAAACTATGCTTATGAGTGCACATTGGATGCAAAGATAAAGCTTATGGCATGAAGACTGATTTTGTTGTGACTGTCCAGGAGTGCTGTTATATAGCCTTGTGATGAAGGCAGACAATTAAACTACCTGTTTCCTGTTGATCAAACATCTGTGTACTGTCTTAATTTAAATTGGCATTATCTGAAAATTATAGATTAAAAAGATTCTTGCAATGAAGATGATTTTGCATTGGAGTAATAGAATTTGTTATCCATATCTCTTTCAGCCTGATAGCAACACCATAAGTGTTGATTTCCAGTCAGCTGTAAAAGAAGCGGAAAGATTAGCCAATGAGTCGTCTTACTTTATTCCTCCTGTCTGCACTTCTCCTACACAACATGGTGAATGCCACGTTAATTTTATACGTAAAGCTCAGTGTTCGTTCAGTTGGGATTGGGCACCCTCATTTCCTGTTCAGGGTATCTGGTAAGTATCTATTTTTAATTATTTTTAAGCCATTACAGCAATAATTTTTAAAATATATCTTCAATTTCTTCTAATTGACAGCTGTCTTGATAAACGTGCAGACAAAAGTATTTCAAATGTAGATTCTGCTTTAAAAAAAAAAAAAAGCATTTAGATGCTTATTAAACGAATTACTTACATTGATTAGTCTTGAGTTGTTTTCCTTTTCCAATGTTGGTCAAGAAAGTTTCTCTTGATTTTCCAGTGTGGTTTCCCCTCATCAGTTGGAATTCAATTGGTGCCTAGGCAAAATTTCCCTCATAGCACACTGCAGAGTGAATCCATGTCTTCATGAGCCCAGTTGGAGTAGAAAAGTATGACCTGAAACACCATTTTATTCATTCATTCATTCATTGTTTTCTTTTGGTTTAGTTAGACACTTATCTGGTAATTAGTTTGCAAAAGTAAAAACAGTGTCAAATCTTCATTCCATAACATTTTAATTTTAGGCAGAATATCTATATCCAATCATTTGATTCAACGGTTATCAGAGAATTTTCAGCTCTAAGTAGGAAAGGTATGCATTAGTTTATTTTGATCAACAGTATAAAATGTAATTTTATTTTATGTGCTGTATAGAATCGGCAGCTTACTAAAAATCCAAAATTAAGAAAGATTGAGCATGTATTTGCATCATCCATTTTTTTACAATTTACACAATATTTGCCTGACAACTTCCCTGTTCATTTTAGCTAGTGATAATACATGGAGTGTAGATGTTGAAGTACATTTTGATGTAAGAACTGGAAGTACAACAGGAGAACTAGAAACACAACTTGTAGGAACACCTGTTATTTTTAGACAAGTGATAGTATTAAATCCTACTAACAGCAGTTTTAATTTTACTCTTAATATACCTAAGGTAAGGGGATTTTCTGCACATATTCTTTGGATTTTCTCTATGCCCTATTGACATACAGTGGACTCTGTCACATCCGACATCATACGAGATTCTTACAATATTTCGAATCACACAGCGTGTTGGAATACCGAGCTTTTTCCAAAACCGGAAATACTGTAACTTCGAAAACTGGAAGTATTTTTATATTGTAGCTTCGAATCACCAGAATGCTATTCCCTTTAAAAATGATAAACCTTTTCTGTACTTTCAAAATTTTATTACATTAAATAATTAACAATAACAATGCATGCGTACAATATATTCATAAAATCATTTACAAGTAAATCGTTTCTTACTGCAGTTTAAATTATCGGAAAACTTCTGTTTAAATTCATCTTTACGCTTTAATATGTCTGACACTGTAGCTCGGCCAATTGAATACTTAACGGCTAATTCCTTCTGCGCAGGTCGTGGAACTTTCTCGAAATCTGCTATAAGTTGCCGCTTTACATCTAATGTCAAATCTGTTCGGCACGCTTTGCAGGACGTTCAGACCTTTTGAATACAATAATGTATAATGATTCTTCAATCGCGGCAATTTTTATATAATATCGCAGTATTTGACATGAGTAACTAAAATCAAATACAAAGCGCACTCTTACAAGAAATTATAAATTGTAAAATAATCAACAAAGAATTTATAACATTATCAAAGTAATCAACACAGACCGGCGCTTGCGAGTTTAAATCTCACCGATAATTGATTGGTGATTGCTTGTTAATCTTTTCTGGCTTCACACCCATTGAGTTTTAATCTCACCGATAATTAGATGCTTCACATCCACCGTTTGAAGTACGGATTATATGGTGTCGATTCAATGGAAATTATGTGACAGGACGGCTGATTGATGTCGGAATCCGGAACATACAGAATCCGGATTTACCGGCGATTTTTTGGCTGAAGTAATAAGGAAATAAATCCGGACATGAAAATCATGTCGGATGTCACAGCAATCCGGAGTGATCAGACATCGGATGTGACAGAGTCCACTGCATATCAAACAGGGTCATCTTATTGATATCAAACAGGGCCATCTTATTGATATATATCAAACAGGGTCATCTTATTGATATATATCAAACAGGGTCATCTTATTGATATATATCAAACAGGGGCATCTTATTGATATATATATCAAACAGGGGCATCTTATTGATATATATCAAACAGGGGCATCTTACTGACAGAAATAACTAAAGAAAACTGAATAACTAAAGAAAACTGAATAACTAAAGAAACAACAATAAACATAATTTATTGTTTGGAACGAAATAAATAAAATGAAACTCATATAGTTTTCTTTGGGTTATTATTTATTACTAAATCGTTCAGAAAATTACCCCTACCACCACTGTTACATGCCAGATTTTAAGTTACCCTATGTCTATTTTTCGCCTGTCCAACCTCGTGGGTTTTCTCCGGGTCCTCCGGTTTCCTCCCACTGCTAAAGACCCCTACGCGCAAGCGAATTATGGAAATAAAATTGAACCATATGTTAGTTCCGAAATGACCTAGTTTGTGTTGAGTGGACGTTAAACCCCATTTCTCTCTCTCTCTATGTCTATTTATAGAAACTTATTCTAATAAATTATATAATACTGATCAGCCAGTTAAAATTGCTTCTTCCAAAAAATGTAATATTTACAGGATACTAATATAGATCTATGGTGGCCAAATGGATATGGTAATCAATCTTTATATGAACTTACAGTCAAATTTACTAGTGATAAAAGCCAGGAATCAACAGCTAAAACTATTAAGATTGGATTTAGAACTGTTGAAATTGTCCAAGTACCTGTATCAAATAATGAAAACTATGGTATGTAGCCTACTAAAAAGTCATGTGCAGGAAATGAAATTACATGAATGAGATTTAAATACTAATAAACAAAATAAACAGATGATCAAAAGAAAATATCAAACTATTAAGATAACTAAAATTTGGTAAAGGTGTCGTATTGTGTCAGTTTGAAATACTCACAAATTTTTAGATATGGATGTTCCTGTATTTGTAAAATAAACTATAAAATGGCACATTATCTGCATGATGGCCTGGCTATAAGGAAATAAAGGTGGTACAGTTCTCACCTAAAAACCTGGAACAGTAAAATCAACATTAAGTGCATACAACTGCTAACTCTTGAGGAAGCTTTGTCTTTGGACAAACTTTAATGATAAATATGCAAGATTTAGAGAAAAGGCTGGCCATTCTTCTATAATAGTTTAAAAATAGTTAATCAAAAATGAATTTATTGAAAATTTGAGTCCAATTACTTTATTCTGAGCAAAGCCATGAATATTTGAAGTTTTGACAAGAAATAGCCATAATTGGCTGATGGAAACTCCACCCACAGTTCATATTCTTGATTGGCAATTACCATTGTCATTCTAATAAACAAAGTTGTGATTTTCAGTTCTTTCAACGACCAGTCCGAGCAGAAAAGTAGGATGTTAAACCCCATTTTATTCCCATTCAATGTCAGTCTCAGCTCTCAGACCACATTAGCATTTAACGTGACTATGGTGGAAATTGTCTAATCCACTCAATATTTAAAACATCCAATGATCTAGAGGGTTGATTATAGGCTTGTCATGTGAATATATAACTAAATGAAAATTTATATAAAATTTGAAGCCTCTTAAAACACATGTTTAATCAGGTTTTATACCCAACCTTCCACTGTATGGTGAAGGTCTAGGATATAAGATAATTTAATCTTTCAAAATATTGCTTTTTTCATAGGACTGACTTTTTTCTACAAAATAAATGATATGCCAGTATTCTTCAAGGGTACTAACTGGATTCCATCAGATAGTTTTATAGAGAGAGTGACATATGATAGAATAAGAATACTTTTAACATCAGCTGCTGAGGTCCACATTAATTCAATGAGAGTTTGGGGTGGAGGGGTAAGTCTTCATGGTTTAAAGTATTTGATTACATAGATTGTGTTGGATTATTATCAGGTGATGTTTTAATTTTTGCTTACAAAAATGTATGCCGTAGTGTATGGCATTGCACGCTTGAAAGATATTTGTTGGATCAGGCCACAATGTAATGTTTTATACGAAGATGTGCTCTATTCAATGTTTCATACACTTTGAATGAGATGCCTTCCATTCTTTGCAGGAAAGACTGGTTGTTAGTGCATATGTATTCTTGTATTCTTTATTATATGTGTTTACATATACAATTAATAACCATCTTTTGGGTCACATTCATGAAATTATTATTTTTGTATCTTTTAGATTTATGAAAGTGATTCTTTTTATGAATTAGCTGATGAATTGGGAATTATGATATGGTCAGATTTTATGTTTAGTGTAGCTTTATATCCTACAACTAAATCATTCCTTGATACTGTTGCCATAGAAACACGACAACAGGTTAATATTATATTATTATGCCTATAACCTTACCTTTACTTGATATTGTTACCATAGAAACAAGACAACAGGTTAATATTAAAATACTATGCCTATAATATAGCCTAATATTTACTTGATACATTTACCATAAAATCAAGGCATCAGGTTAAAATTAAATTACTATAGCCCAATCTTTACTTGATACTATTACCATAGAAACAGTACAACAGGTTAATATTAAATTGCTATACCTATTTAATCTTTACTTGATACTCTTACTAACAGCAAACATTAATATTAAACTTTATCTACAACAAAATCGTCAACTTGATACTGATAATATAGAAACCAGTCAATGTTTTATATCTTAGATTTAAATACTAATGGCATTGTAAGCACTAAGTACAATCAAACTTTCTGACATTCAGATTTTTCATCAGCTGGTAGTATACAGGTCACAATTCTATGGAATTACTAAATGTCATTGAAACAATTTATCAGCTGTTAGTGGTTACAGATAGAAAGTAATAACATTGATCTCCTGCATGCTATCTATGCAAGAAGTAGACTATCAACTGAAAGGTCCTGGGGGAACTACAGAGTTCAATTGTATAGAAACAACCTGACAAAGGGTTAATATTAGGTAGATTTAAACTATGTTTGCTGCACACAAATCATTCTGTGATACTGATACTATGAATAATTAAATAAGGTTTAAACTCAGTACATGTAGTATTCATCTTACTTGATGAGTTCAATTAAATGGCAAATTATTATTGTGATTTTGCATTCTTTGGCAACGTTAGCATTTTATCTATTTCATCATTTTACGTTTAGGTTAGACGTCTTAAACATCATCCATGTATTGTTGTGTGGGCAGGGAATAATGAAAATGAATTGGGGTTACAGCAAGGATGGTAAGTTATTGTGTTGCAATTGGAAGAAAATTGTTTTTTTTAATAAGTTTCTTGCATCCTAACTAAACCCAATGACAGGCACTGTTCTCATCCCTGTACCTGCTATACTATATGTTGTATACAAATAGCGTTATTCTGTTATATGCATGTGTTGTATAATTTAATGAATGTACCCTATGTATGTTGTACAATAAGTTTGACTGATGATATCATTGTAGTATATAAAGGTACCAAAAGTTAAACTTTTGTATATTGTATCCATTCATTTATATACTCCAATCTTCAATTTATGTATAGGTTTGGAGTGAAAGATGTTGATCCATATAAAGGAGATTATATAAAGTTATATATAAATACTATTGGATCTATTATACAACAAGAAGATACCACTAGAGAATATTTATCATCAAGTCCTTCGGATGGGAAACTTACAAAACAGGCTGGAGGCATTGCTCAGAATCCTGCTTCAGAATTATATGGTGATAGTAAGTTTGGATAAAGCAAATATTTTCTTTATGTACAGGGCACAGGTGCAAGTAAAATGGAAAGTCTCTTTCAAAAATAACATTAAGCAGAACCTAAAGTATATTAGGTCTAAAGTCTTTTACATAAATAGTCATGCTTCTCAACCATTCAGAAAAAAACTAAAAACATACTGGTGTAAATGTGACAGGAAGAAAATGGCAGGTATTTGTTATTTTTTTGCTTTCAGTACATTATTACAACTATTTTGCTGATCTATGGGATTGGAAAACATTCCAGATTCCTAGATTTGCATCTGAATATGGTGTTGAATCTTGGTGTAATTATGAAACACTTGAACCAGTTTTTGCTGAGGAAGATTTTGATTACTGGTCACCTATGGCAGAGAGACGCCAACACCATGGATTGGGTAAGATCTTGAAATTTGTTGAAATAGGTTTAACATCCTACTTTTCTGCACCTACCTGGCTAATGAAGAAGGGTCTAGTTGGTAGAGATTCTCAATAGCATAAACTGTACTTTGCCAGTCTTTATTTAGTGCAGACATTCAAAGAAACATACTTGTGATGAGAAGCATAATGACAAGTGTCATTAATTAATTTCTTTATTATAATATATGAATATATTGATGAAGAGCTATTTAGAAATAAAGTGATTGTACAATAAATAATACATACTTTTCTTCCACCAGGAAACATAGAGATGCTTATTGAAGCTCTAACTCACATACAACTACCTAATGCATCAGATGTTAAGCAACGATTTCAAGATTTGATATATGTTACACAGGTTAATAAATATATTTTGATGCTGGGTAAACATTGTGATCATCGCTGTCTGTCAGGCATTTATTTGGTGTAATTAGTTATGGATGATTAATTTTATATATGTGTCAATTTTCTGACTTGAAACTGAGTGAGTCCTTGTGGGGGACTACATGTGCAAAAATGGTTTATTAATCCCTAGATAATTCTTTGTCTAGTAGATAGAACTATTACATTCCCAAGGATAAAACACACAATCTTCATTTTGGTTCAAATCCTTTCATACAGAACTCCACATACAATTTTACAAAAGTCTTGCACATGGTGTTTTTGAAAATGTTTGATTTGTCTCTTTAATTAAATCAAGGAAATAAGAATGATAAGATTGTCTTATGTTGTATACTTTCAAAATCTCACTGAGTAGAATCACCAATGTATTCTATAAAGGGCGATAAAGGCCATTTTGATGCTTCTTATTTGTCATGTTCTTGTTTTGCTGTCTAAATTTGTTGTCTGCATTAAATTATGTTTTGTGTCACAGATACATCAAGCCATGGCAATGCGGGTTGAAACAGAACACTATAGAAGACATACTAACATACTGAGAAAAGATGGCCGTGGAATGACCATGGGAGCTTTCTATTGGCAGTTAAATGATATCTGGCAAGCACCAACATGGGCATCAATAGGTTGGGGTTTTTTTATAAATTTACCACTATTTTTGTTACCAAGTAAAAAGCATTATTTAAGCTTTTGTTCAGACCATGATATTTTTGTGTGTATTTTATATGAATGCATTTTAAAATGACGATGTAGATCTTTTAGTAAAATGAAGAACCCTATTGAATTTCAGCAATTGCCCTTTATAACTTCTAGAGTTATGACCTTTGTTTGACTTTGTTGAACCTTAATTGTGAACAAAGTAATTTACATGCATATTTAGATCACTGAATCAAAGAAGCCTATTCAATTTCAACAATTTCCGTTTATTACTTCTAGAGTTATGGTCCGTGTTTCACTTTGTTGAACATTATGAATGCTCTTGACAAAAGTTATCACCTGATCTGTATGAAATTTATGTTATTATTGAGATAAGTAAAATGAAGAAGCCTATTAAACTTAAGCAATTTCTGTTAATAACTTCGTGTGAACCTTGTAAACATTTGATCTGTATGAAATTGATATCAGTGTCTTGTAAATGCTCCCATAACCTACAAAAGCATAGATATGCGACAACCCTTGTGGACTGCTTGGATGATTTAGCTGCTGTGGGTGTATGTTTCATTGCCTAGCAACCTATCTTTTAGAGATAACGTCTTCAAATCTAAAATATGGCCTACACATATAGGACATGGTCCCCATTGAACTCCACTTAGTTAGTGTGTTGGTTTTTTTTGTTGTATTTTTCACAGATTATAACTTGAAATGGAAGATGATACATTACTATGCCAGACATTTCTTTGATCCAAATTTGATTTCACCCTTCATCAATGGCACAGATCTAAATATATACATGGTAATAGACGAAATTCCAAATCATTTATACAGACATCCTGATACTCATACTCTAGAATTTAATCCATTACGAGAGCAACATAAACTAGAAGAAATGTTTCAGAAGCATACAGTTTTTCATTTCATTAAGAAGAAAATGATGTCCATAGATGGTACTGTTATTATGGAGATGTATGCATGGAATAATTTTACACCTTTAAAAGCATGGACTATTCCTTATAAAGTAAGCATTTAACTGACTTTAACATATGCTATTTTTAACCTTATTCGTAAAAAAAAAATAGTCAGTGGTGTGCTGGGATCTCCCAAAATATCTATTTTTTTTTGTTTATCAATCACTCATACATTGATCAAAGCGGGGTAGGGTATGCTTACTGTAATAAACACCAGGTGTGTTAACATTTTTCCATTTGGCTTATTGAAGAGATCTGATCATATTTTGTGTATGGATACAGCTAATTAAATAAGATAGTATTTTTCCGCCATCTATAGTTTTCCTAAATTGTTAATTATGAACATTATAGCTAATTTATGGATATTTCAGTTCTTATTGTAGCTAGTATTTTTTTGATGTTCTGTCTTAATGACATTATTCAGCATCTTTTTCATTGCTTTTCTTGTTCTCAGGGCATAGTTTTTGTTTTATGAAAAAAGACTTATGCCCTTACTTTGTGTTTAATGCATTCACTTGATTTGATAATACTTTTAGGGTTTTTTGCTTGTCTGTAAGGTTCTTGGCATTTGAAATTTTTGCACAGAAATGTTTCCGGAAGAAAATAAATTTTGATTTATTTATGATTTCTATTCTTATTTTTCAGTTAAATCAGACATCAGGCTTAATTTTCCAGAAAAACCAAGATGATGTTTTATCTGAAGCTGGTTGTTCTTATAAAAAACAATGTTTTCTTTTTTTTTATCTCAATTCTAAATCTAATCCAACCAGTACATCATGGCTTCCATTAACATATTTCACAGATACTCAAGGTGTTATACCAAAAGCTAACATACAGGTAGAAGCCTTTGTGTTCATGTTTGACTAAAAGCAGTACTGTTTTCTTGTGTTTATTTTTATCTATTATGTTCCTTTAAGTTTAAATGCATATGCTTCAAGGTTCTGCTATTTGTATTGTTTATATGAATTGTTAAAAAAAGACAATATACATGATAATGCAATACCAAGTTATTCCATAAATTACATTGCTTTTTCTGTTCTAATAATCATTTATTATATTTCTACACACTGTATTTCCAGATTACCAATGTTGTGTCAAGTTCAAGGACAGAATTTAATGTCACACTGGCAACAGATAATATAGCACCGTTTGTGTGGATAAATGCCTACAACATAACTGGAAGATTTTCTGATAATGGCTTTCTTATGAAAGATCCTTTACTTCAGTTGACTTTTAAGTCTTGGCAACCAGTAGACCTAGATACATTCAAAAACTCTTTAACTGTTAAATCTTTAATGGATATTTATTATTATAGTGGTGATGATGCCACCTATCTTAAGTACAAGGGTGTATCAAATAAATCTCTGGAGCGCTTACTGTATAATATACATTAGTATTAGGCCTTTGTTTATATATTTTTATATATATAAAGCATAGTTTTTATATATAAAAAAAATCATTGTGTGGGATGGATCTGATCATCTCTCCCATTTAGAAATTAAAAAAAAACAAGAGAACTTTTACTAAAGAAATCATGTATGTGTATCATTGTAGATATCATTCTATTCTATCATTCTGATTTTCAGACCATTAGGACAATAGGCCAAAGATATTAAACTGTTCTGTCTTAGTAGGGCATAAAGCATTAAGATTTTCAGCCTCCTTTAATCGGCATTAATTTCGTTTTGTTTTTTATATCGTTTAAATTGTCTTTACTACAATAGGATCTGGAAGAGTTGTTATCATTGACGTGTTCTGGATGATGTGAGGGATTAGCCAATGAAATAGTCTGTTGCGGGGAGCTCAATTGGCGTGTAGTGCATGGAACTGTGGGTAATCCACGAGAAACATCAATGCTGATTGGTTAATCAAATGTCTGACCTCATAGGATCAAAAGTCGCTCGCATGACCTCTGACGCGACCTGCCAAAACAACTGGTCAGATCTTCATGTAGTGTAGGCCTTCGAAAGTATAAAAAACGAAATGGAATATAGATATGTGTTTTAATCAGATTGTCAGCTGATAGGGAATTCTACAAAATTCAAATATAGATTGAGCTTCATATTATCCATGGGGAATTGGGGATCGTTCTTACAGAAATAGAACCAAGATATGAAAACTTTTTCAGAAAGTTTCACACAACCAACGTTTTTCTTGAATTGACAGCTTAAATATGGTTTTGGATTGTAAAATATTCTTTAACTAACCATTTAGTTCTACATCTGCACTGGTTTGGTTTTTAGTGTTGTTTGTTTTATCAGCTGTCCTTCAGTGGAATTTAATTAAGCAATCTGTCAAACATTTGCCAGTTCACCACATATCACTGTCAATGATTTATACCATAAACAATGATGGTAATTTTATGTCTTCTTGGCCCAGTAATGTAGTGATCTGATTGTGGGGAAAGGGAGATTAGATTGCACATCAGTAATTACGCTGTCTAATCCTCATATTTACTGTTATTGGTCATTTAATTATTTTATTACAGCTTTAAATTATTTCACATAATTTTGCTCAATTTTGGAGGATTTCTTAGGTATTTAAATATTTAAATATTTTACTGTTATTGTACTTATTTAAACTCTTTATTTTTTGTTATTGAATTTACTACTAGTAAAGTATTTAGTTTGATATTGATATATACTCTTTAAAAAAAGTAGGGGATATTGAAATGCAAATACCTATGCAGGTTGCGATATGATAAATAGCCATGGACATTTGACATGCTTTGAGAGTATGTTCACAGATGGAGAACTTATCGCCCCAACAGAACCACTGAGCTGCACATGCGACACGCAATAGCGCCATACACGTGGGAGGGGTTCATTGTCAAATTTGACACTTCAAGGAAGGGTTGATGAAAACTGCCGCGTGCTGGTTTATCTATCCATGTTTGCTTTCCTATCGGTTCTTGCATAAGATTTACTGTTTAACGCATCCTTGCTTTAGTGTGTTACGTTTAATTTGATCGGGAGGCGTTTTCGTCAACGTCAACCGACAACACTGCAAGAATTGGCCGTGTCACTGCAAGAGGAGTGGGTCAGATTGCCCCAAATCTTGATTGGACGGTTGATTAGGGGCATGCCACGACGAATTGCTGAATGTCTGAGGATTGGTGGAGTAATTTCTCATTATTAAGACAAAAATCAAAAACGTCCATTTTCACGGACAGTGAAATTAGGCCGTCAGATAAGCTGCCCATATGAACTGTTTATGTTTATGTGTAGGCAGTTGGCCTGTTATTAACATACACTGGTTACCTCTAATAAAAACAGCAGTGCATTTCCGCAGTTTTGTATGGTTTCTGAATATCCCCAACTTGTTTTGAAGAGTATATTATGAATTAATTGCATTTTTTATGTGGGAATATATTGTCACCAATATTTGTGGACGTATTATGCCATCCGTCCGTCCACAATTTGTTTCTGAACACTCTACAGGTCACAATTTTTATTAGATTGTGAAGTAATTTGAAATATAGGTCTATCTCCCAAAGATATCGGTTCCTTTCGATATTGGCATGTATCGGACCATAACTTTATGGATTTACGAAAAATCACCTTTTTAGCTTGTGTCCACTCTAGAGGTTGCAATTTTCATCTGATTTTGATGAAACTTGAAATGGATGTTTATAAACCAAAGATCTTGATTCTTTTCGATATTCGCGCATATCGGATCGTAATTTCCTGGATTATGGCCTCTGTACGAACAATCACGTTTTTAGCTTGTGGACTCTCTAGGGTCATATTTTTTATCCAGTTTAAAAAAAAAGTTTACATGTATCACCGTTGCACCCTAATGACGGCTGAGTTCCAATTTCGTGAAAACCGGGCTAAATAAACTGCCTGACAAAATGGCGGCTCCTTTATGCAAATAGTGTAAAAGTATGTCATACCAAGGTTGTGGACCCTCTAGAAGTCACAATTGTTATCCGATTTTGATGAAACTTGGAATGCATGTTTATATTCCAAAGATCTTGGTTCCTTTCGATATTTGCGCATATCAGACCGTAACTTCCTGGATTATGGCCCCTGATTTTACGAAAATCGTGTTTTAAGCTTGTGGATTCTCTAGCGGTCACAATTCTTTATCCGATTTCAAAAACCGTATAAATATATCACCATTCCACCATAATGATTTCGAATTTCGGGAAAATCGAAATGAAACTCCCCGACAAAATGGTCGCTCTTTGTCGCAAATTGTGTAAAAATATGTAATACGAAGGTTGTTGACGCTCTAGAGGTCACAATTTTTATCCGATTTTGATGAAACTTAAAATGTATCTTTATATCCCAAAGATCTCAACCCCTTTCGATATTTGCGCATTTCAGATCATAATTTTCTGTACGAAAAATCGCTTTTGTTTCTAGCTTGTTCTCTATCCATCTCTTGCAAAATGTGAGCGTATCTTTCCTGGCAATCGCTGGTATCAGTTATAAGGAGGAACCCTTTTACAATTCAGAGTTTCACAACCGTATTCTGGAGAGTTTCTGGTCAATTTCTAGAAAGGTTTTAAGCACTCGATAGGTCAAAGTTTTTATATTCCCACATTGAATGTTGCCCTGTGTTTATTTTTCTGTGACCACTCTACAAGGTCAAAGTTCTTTACAGATTTTTTTTTTCAATTTCGCAAGGATTGTTCATTGACAATGGAAGTGTAGGTTGAAATTTATGATTCTTGGTGATTATTTTTTTACAAAATAATAAAACTGTGGGCAAAATAATAAAACTGTGGGGTTGTTCATTAGGGTATAAAAATAAAAATATGATTTGTATGTGTAGTCATTGCCCCTGACCCAAATACACAAAACATAATATACCAACACCTTTCTGTATAGTCAATTTAGGGTTGAGCAATCAAATCACCACGAAACCAAAACAAACAGTAAGTGAACTAATTTTGGTAATAATAATATGTCCATTTGATATCGCAGCTGAAGAGTATAGTTCCAAAGTACAAATTTAATGTCAAGTCTACTTGAAAATATTTGAACAACGGTAAGTGGCATACTTTACATTTAAAGGTTCCTGTGTGACAAGCATGTTAATGCCAAAACCTCCAATCAAAACCTAATATCTCAAAGACTCTCGGCTTTTACATCTGGTTTGAAATACAATTGTCATTTTTTCTTTACGATGGTCCTGTTTTATTGTCTATGGTTATTAGTATTTTTGGTATCCTACTAGGGTTTTCACATATTACACCAGACGGTACTCTTATCGACATGGCCTATTTTAACGTGCCTACAGGCAATCCTTCTTTGAAAATCTGAAATCCGTGCTTTGAAAAAATGTTATGTAGCCTTGTGAATCTGGCAAGATTGTATGGGGAAACGTAGCTATTATTATGATCATCGACCACTTTCGATTTCTGTTTCAAATATTTTGTATAATTGACGTATTCCCCCGACCACCACGTAAAGCACGAAAATTACATAGCAGAACATGGTCAGGTGCATGTGACACTGACAGCGAAGGTTCGTTTGGCTTTGGATCGACTGAATGTTTCTTTGGACTATTAATGATACTGAAACACGGTTATAAATATAAATATGTTAATTCTGTTATATTTTGGTTACAAAAGTGTAAACTGTTATCCGTGGAAATTTTCACGGAACCCCAGAAACCGTGCTTCGCCAATAAAACCTTGAAATAGGCCCTACGTATCCGAGCCGTTATATCTTCCGTTGTCCACATATATGGATTAGCAGTTTGGTAACTATGCAGACATTGTTTGGGTTTCAGAGATACTGCAGTGCAAGGCAGGTATCAATTAATCTAGCGTGAATTTCCGGTTCCCTTGATGATAAGATTTCAGACACCAATCTAGCGTCGGTTTAGACCCAATTAACTCTTTGAATCATTAACAACTATAACTAATAAGGTTTTCAATAGTTATATATATAACCCATATAAAATCAGTTAACTTCTGGAATTAATTTCTTTAGACACACTTATTTAGTAGCCACATGCATTCGGAGTGGTTTTGTTATTAAACTAATTTGAATAAATATCCATTAAGGATTGTACGCTCAACGATTTCTTGAATGTATCGAGGCTAACGGGTTGCCAGGATTTAAAGGTTAATTGAACTAGATGATCTTTCATAATAAAACCATTATCAGAGAATCTTCCTGATATTTTGTAGGCGTTGATCCATACAAATGGGGCAATGTTATCTGTCATAAGAGTTACTGTAAATTGTGTACTTGTGAGTGCAACAACATTCGATATCTGAAAATATAAAACATACATGTAGTTTTAAGTTTTATTATTTGTTAGGAACTAGTTTTACAGTTAAGAACATAATTCTGTGAAGTTTCCAAATATAGATGTAGTACCCGTCGCTTCTACTTTATACCTCAACAAATCACGACAATCATATCAACAAATCAGATGTGACAATTTTATGACCCAAGCACTTAAATGTCTGAAATTGTGATATGAAAAGTGAGTAACAGTACGTTGTTAACTTACGAAAGCAATATTGCTGCCCTGGATTGTGAAATGTCCACTATTATAAAGATATCTTGGGGACTGTTACAAAGTCAGCAGCCAAAACTCAACCGCGCAATTTCCTGATCAAGCAACATGCCTATATGTATGTCTATTTAAATCCTGCGCCGAAATATACGAAGTTGACCAAAAAAATCCAATCATTTTTTTGCAAATTCGAGTGGATTACCCAGAAGTGATAATTACTTATAGTGGTATTAATTCCGAGTATGTGCAATCAGCCAGTTTTGTTAAAATTGAAATGTAACCACTGGTATATTTTGTACCTCACCTCTATATTAGCTTTTGGTATAACACCTTGAGTGTCTGTGAAATATGTTAATGGAAGCCATGATGTACTGGTTGGATTAATTTTCGAGTTGAGAAAAAAATAAAAGAAACAACCTTTCTTGTCTGAACAACCAGCTTCTGATAAAATATCAGCTACATTTCTTTGGAATATTAATTCGGATGTTAGATTTAACTGAAATATAAAAGTGGTTATACATTACAAAGGCAAGGACACAAGTTCTGATTTAATCGCTAATTAAAGATTAATGGTTCGCTTTGAGAATTCAGATGAGTTCGAATATTGTTGCTTTCGAATGTGTCAATGATAATAATTTTGTCAACGTTTATATTACCTCATTCGTGCTTGCATTTTGTTTTCATCGTGAATATAGCCAACAGCCAAAACTATCCCTTGTTTGACTGGTGAGCATTTCCGAAACCTATGATCGTATAATCTACCCGATTGTAATTGTGCATAAAGGGACTGGAGATATCTATAAATGAGGAACTATTATACAGTTATGCATACCGCACCACTAGATAATTTAATATAGTGAAACTTACATTAAATGGAATTGTCCAGGTTTTCAAGGGTGACATGTTCTTCCAGTTATAAATTTCCATTATAACTTGTCCAGACGATGCATTGACCGACTTCTCTAACTGTTTTATTTTATCCCTGTGTTCATAGTTAGTATTCACAAAGTTCTTCGCGATTTTCAGCGGTCGAAATTGTATTTGACGGTTTCCCGTAGAAGATCTATCTTGGTAAACCGGAATTTCATCAATAACCATATAGATATTTAGATTATTGTCGTCGATGTACGGAGAAATCAAATTGGGATTTAAAAAATTCTTGACATAGTAGTGTAGCATTTTCCACTTGACGTCAAAATCTGAATAGAATATAATAAGAAATGAAAATGTATTATGTAAGAGCTAAATCTGCCTAATGCAGATCTTTCGTTTGACCCCCAAATGTTATATAAATCAATAATTAGACATTTATTCACAAGCCAAGCCCATAATCAACGATCTAGAACATCCGTTGCTTTTGATTATCAACGGGTTTAAATACGATGGCTAGTAAATGATTTAATTAAAATTGGATAATCGAGACGTTGTTTATAATCTTAACGACGGTAGAAATGATAATCGAGACTACAAAGTTCTTCTAATGGCAATAACTCCTCTCAGAATGAAGTAATTTGACTGAAATTTTCAACATATTCTCTTTTCATTTTTCTATTATTTAACTATTATGGCGAGAAACTGTCAGCTCTTTGTCTAAATCTTACATATTGCATCTATAAAAATGAATAATGCAAAATACTTCATTTAGGTTTTAAGAAAAAAAATTATACATTAACCTTGATGTAAATAGGAAAGTGTTATCAGATATCTGTTATATTATTGATTTGAATTTAACAAACCTATTGAAGCCCATGTTGGTCCTTGCCATATGTCGTTTAACTGCCAGTATAATGCCCCCATGGTCAAACCACGACCATCGTCTGTAAGTTGGTTTGTATATCGTCTATAATGTTCAGTTTCTGTTCGAATTGCCATTGCTTGATGAATCTAATGAAATTTCCAAGTTTTATCAATTTTATTATTTTTAGTTTATTCATTTTAACAGTAAGTTTACACTAACTTTCACTGCCGCGAAATATTACCGGTGATTTATTTAATAGATTGACAGTAGTTCGATAATTGCATATTTCTTGCCTCCTAATTCGAGGGGGTTCTATATAAAACACTTTTTGTGACTGATTCCAAGTACAACAGATCCAAGAAACCAGTAGTCAAGAAGGATAGTGATATTGCAAATTTCTACAAAGATCTACCCATGAATTGGCAAATAGTCTGGAGAGGCAATCCTATATTACGAAATGAAATGAAAAAGGGTCGAACGCCCTATTTTTCTGCACCGACCGGGTTATTGGAGACTTACATTTGCCCAGACAGCGACGTTTCCGCCTACACTTTTTCGAATTCTAACTGCCAATAGTTCTTTTCAGTGCCCACCAGCGGGCATACAGGAACTCGGCTTTTCGTCCCATCCGATCAATTAGAGGCTGGTTCGTGCCAGCCCACGTTGTGTATCTAAGACAAAGGGAAACCACGCTGAGAAATCTCGAGGTAGTTCTTGGCCAATACCGGAATCTCGTGGTTAGTGAGCCAGTTCATACGGCCAATAGTCTTTATTTTAGTAATAGACAAGATAGCCGATAGGAAAGGAAGGCAGGTGCAGGAGGATGGGGCTGTGTCCTTACTACTGATCCTGACTACGAGGTCAAACCCAAGTTTTTCGTTATAGACCAACTAGCAGGACACCCTTCTTCGCAGGGGACCAAATTCGCCACGGGGCCCAATTCGTCAGTGGTACAAATTCGCCCGAGGACCAAATTCGATGGCCTCGACCATTCACAATGAGCGCGGCGACGAAGCGTGATTCGACAAAGGTATAGACCCAATTCACCCGGGACCCAAATTCGATGGCCTAAAGCATTCACGGGGTCATGCTCATGACTTTTGAATATTCGGTCCGTACGCCCCGAAATATTTCGACAAGATATCAGTTCTTGAATACGAAAGCTGTAACCAACCTGAATAGCATAAATGAGATTTTTAAATTGTTGCTTAGGATCATTTGAATTAGGTAGAGTAATGTGCATCTTAGTCTGGTTAATCATTTGTTGATTTCCTGAAACATATTTTTCAGATCTTCAGAAAGCATACTCTTTGTTCGTTGTAAAGTTGTGAAATTTTTTGAGGACTTTCTTGCTATATAGAAAACGAAATAGGGAGAGATAAAATGGGGTTTAACGTTCATTCGACACAAACTAGGCCATTTCGGGACTAAAACATGGTTCAATTTAATTCGATACTTCGGTTGCGCGTTGGGGTCTTTAGCAGTAGGTGGAACCAGAAAAAAACAAACAAGATTGGTCAGGCGTTCACATTCCCTGTCACGTACAAGTCGGGAATCCAGAAAAGGAAATATATACTGGAACGCAACAGAAAGGCCAGAGGTTTAAAGAGGGTAGTTCAGTATAATGGTTATTAATGACAATTTGGTTACTTTACCCATTGGGTGGTGTTGACGGTGATTGGACATAGCTGAATAGTAGTCTAGATCTGATTCATTAAAAACTGGTTCAATAGTTTCATAATTACACCATGCTTCCGATCCATATTCAGACGTAAAACGAGTAATCGGAAATGTTTTCCAATCCCATAGATCCGCATAATAGTTATAATAGTGTACTGAAAATAATTATAAGTACCAATAGTTATAGATTTATCTGGTAATAATCGATAATGCCAATTAACATTGGTTTAGGATTGGGGGCGGTGTATGGGGAGTTTTACTAATTGTTATCTAAACCAACCCATTATTGTTTATACAGTTGTTATGTTCAAATTGGCTTAAATGGTACCTACATTTTACTTATAGATCATATAAGGTTAAAAGTGTCAAAATATAAATTGTTTACCATCTCCATAATATTCTGATCCTGTGTTTTTTGCAATCCATCCTTCTTTCTTTGATTCTGGGCCATTACTAGGACTAGACGGTACAAAGGGTCTGGTTTTATCTTCGATTGTAACAATGGGCATGATCAGATCTATATATAGTCTAACATAATCCTGTCTTAAACGTGCATCTTTCCTTTAAAAAAGTGAAATAAAATACTTGAATACATATAGGTAGTATTCTATATAATCAATGCATAAAATACAACTAGTAGGTAGAAGTGGTGACAGCTGATGCAGAAAGAGTAAATTTGCTTGCACGAAGGGCATCCATTGTCCCGGTGTCAAGGAAACACAGTCCTACATTTGAATTCGAAACGTGCATGCCCATAACCAAGCAATCTGTGTCTATAATTCAGAGCCATCCCCGTATCATGTGTGTAACGATGTCTACAATGCTGAATTAACCATTGGGCAAAATAGGCCACGTGATAAGGGCATCATGGTAATATGGCCACCACAGAATGTCCGCCAAATTTAAAATATTTAATTTAAAAATTAATTAAGAACTTTCAATTAGTTTTTCATTAAGCAAAGTAAGCAGGTGTTTAGGGCATCATTGTCATGGGGGAAACACAGAATGTCTGCAAATTTTAAAAGATTTTATTTAAAAATTAATTAAGAACATTCAATTAGTTTTCATTGTTTTTGTCTTTTCATACTGTTTATGGTTTATTATAATAATGATACATGTATTTTTAATTACAATAATGAGGGCACCAATATCTGGTGTCTATGGATATAATCCACTGAAATTGTTTCAAACTACCGACCTATAAGCCTATTAAGTTCTTTGAGCAAATTATTAGAAAAGGTAGTTTTCAAACACCTGTTTAACTATTTTCATGAAAACAATCTCTTGTACAAATACCAATCAGGGTTTCGACCGAACTACTCTACTGTTCATCAACTTTTAGAAGTGTATCATGATATCTCATCTGCAATAGATAAGCAACTATATTCCTGCTATGTTTTTTGCGATATATCTAAAGCGTTTGACCGCGTATATTTAACTGGTTTGATACACAAATTAAGTCAATATGGGGTTTCAGGCATGCTAATTACGTGGTTGTCTAGTTATGTCCAAGACCGGACTCAACGGGTATTCGTAAATGGCTCTGTGTCATCAGAAATTACTCTTCAATCAGGAGTTCCCCAGGGATCAGTTTTGGGCCCCTTTTTGTTTTTGACTTACATCAATGATGTACAAGATGTACTCCATAATGTGGCTAGATTATTTGCAGACGACACGGCACTTGGGTGTAGCAAACAGTCAGTTTCAGAGATAGAACAGTCCCTAAACTACGATCTGACAAATCTCAACATTTGGGCGAATAATTGGCTTATAAACTTTAATCCAAACAAAACAAAAGCTATTTTATTTAGCTCCAAAAAACCAGAAAATTATCCGAGTCTGATATTCGATAATCAAGCACTTGAAGTGGTTAAATGTCACAAACACTTGGGCATTACCCTTTCCAATGACGCCAAATGGACCATCCATATAGAAACTATTATCTCGTCCACCTCAAAATTATTAAATATTTTGCGTAAACTAAAATTCACCTTTAATAGACAAACTCTAAATAACGTATATTTGATATTCATAAGGCCAAAAATGGAATACGCATGTGAAGTGTGGGATGGGTGTAACGTTTCCAATACCGAAAAACTTGAAAAGGTACAGCTAGAAGCTGCCAGGATTGTGACTGGACTAACTAAAACTTGTTCTCGTGAAGCGCTTTATTTTGAAACCGGATGGAATAAATTGTCAGACAGACGTACACAAAAGCGACTAACCACATTTTTTCAAATTAAAAATCAGAGAAACCCAGCATACTTATATGACATTCTAGAATATTATCAACAAACACCACAAAAATACAATTTAAGAAACATTAGCGAATATAGATATCCTTATTGTAGAACAGCATTACACCAAACTTCGTACTTCCCCACAACAATTCGAGATTGGGAATTATTAGAGGACCCCATAAAGCAATCAACCACTCTTAAATCCTTCAAATATCTATACAAACAAAAATTACGTTCCTTAATACATAAAGCGCCAATCTACTACTGTAAAGGTAATAGACATGAAAATATTATTCACACTAGAATACGGCATGGGTGTAGTTCGTTGCAAAATGATTTGTATGAAATAAACGTTGTGAATGATCCCACATGTTCTTGTGGCAAATTTATAGAAAATGCCGAACACTATTTCCTGCAATGTCACTTATATGATGTAATTCGTGCTGAACTATTAAATACATTGTCAAGTTATTCTGTGATAAATATAGATATCCTATTGTGCGGCAATTCAGAATTGTCAATTGAGATGAATACAAACCTTTTCCTTGAAGTTCACAAATATATTAAACTTTCAAAACGATTTAAATTTAAATAAAAGTTATTGTTAGTAGTTACATCTTAGAATAAATTATTAGCTTTAGCTTTTTTGGTGGATAACTTTTTTTTTTTTTTTTTTTTTTTTTTTTTTTTTCTCCGCACCCCCCACCCCCCCATTTTTTTTTTTTTTATTATTTCTTTTTATCATTTTATACATGCATCAGTTCATTTATATCCCATTTATTAAACTTTATTTTTCAATGTTTTAAATATAATTTTATATTCTCTTTATCACCTCTTCACTTATTTTATATAGAGCTTTGAGATATAATTCATCTGACTTTACTTATATTACTTATAAATTATTTATTATTGTATATACTATTTCGAAATCTTGTTAGTATTAAATAATGTCTATCATTTCTATGTATGGAAAGGGCTTTTCTAAGTTTTTGAAACTTGTGCTCAATCCTTTTGATATTTGTCAATAAAATATGTTTAAATAAAAAAAATTGTTCTATCCTACACAGTCCGATTTTCAAATTTTAAAGATACATTATGGGAGATTCGATAAAGAGTTGGCAGTTCTCGCTATAATAGTTAAAAACTTGATAATCTAAAGGCAATTTGCTGAAAATTTCATTCAAATTGATTAACTATTAACCGAGAACTAAGCGATTGAAATTTCTGCCTAGCCCCGATTATCAATACTAAAGTCAGTACGATAAACAGCATGGTCTCGATTATCCAATTAATCGTTAAATCGTGAAGGAAAGTTATGCAATAAATCGGCACATAATCCACTAAAGATCGCGGCTAGCGATGCCACCTAGAGTTGATTATGGTCTGGGTAGGTTAATTAATGTCTAATTAATAATTGAGATAACGTTTCAGGACTAAAGAAAGACCTGCAATAGACAGATTTAGTACTTGCATAATCTATGTTTAAATAGAACTTCCCGTCGGTTTCACCTAAGATGATTTGTGCAATATTTGAAACAAATACTTACTTCGTGGAAACGATGCCCTCATTCTCATTATTTCCTGACCATAGAGCAATACTAGGGTGACGCTTCAATCTGCGAACCTGAAATAAAATAAAAACCGGCTTAATTTTGGATCACAATTCCGGAATTTGCGCACAAAGGTATATTAAAATCTAAAAACCACGGTAATACTACGCATAAAATGTCAAATTCAAGCTATATTCACATGCTATTATTTCGATTAATTTACTAGTGTCATTTTTCCAAGGAAAATGAATAGAATAGTCTTTAACCTAACGTCAAAGCAATATGCGGATGGCGCAATGTATGTCCAATATATCGCCACTGAATTACGTTCTTTGGTGGGTTTCTGGTTTGTTGTTTCACATAAATCCTGGTTTGACGTGCGATCTGGTTAATCATATTCACATTCAATGTCAATACATTGCCTCAACGTTTCCAACCCATAAAGTAATATAAGTTTTAGAACCTGGAACATATTATATTTAGTTCGAGATTCCACCAGTTTCCAGCGGACGAGTTGTGGGGGGGGGGGGGGGGTCTTGACTAGGCATAAAATTGATGACCGTGTCTGAATTGTTATAGGGTTCCTCCACTTGGCTAGCCAGGAGACCATGTGAATTTTGAGAGGGTTACTCCTTTGGACGGGTCTTTTAAAAATGAAAGGTCAAACTCGGACCAGTTCGGCGACAAAGGCACTAACTTAGCGAAAAGAAATGTTAAGCGTTTCAAATTGACTGACAAGTGTGATAATCATACACACTCATGAAATGTGAGCATTTAAAATGGAACAGGCGTATATAAAATCTGCTAGTAGTTACCTGATCGCTTACTTCTACTGAAACTGTATTCAGGAAACTTAAAGTGGTAGGATAGAGAGCATCACTAAACATAAGATCTTGCCAGATTAATATACCCAGTTCGTCAGTTATATCATAAAAGTCTTCGCTTTCGTATACCTACAATAATATAGAAAGTAGGTTGGCAATTTTTCAGTTGATCTGGCATGCCAAAGCGTGTATAATGACATCTTTGAATAAGGTAAGTTACTGAAACAAGGTTATACACCATCAAAATTTAAATATGCATTCAAGACATTTTATTGACGCCACCTATAGTCTATAGATTATTGAGATAAATGTCTGATAATTCACTTGGTCTATTTATATGAATTTAGTTTTGGTATGTGATATTTTCCATTGGTTATTAACATCCGTTACGTTAAGTCAATACTGCATATATTAATTTGCGTGTCATCCCAATCCATTCATCTATTTATACCCAAATAATGTATAAATACAGGCTTTATATTTTCATCCAGGAGTTGATATAGATACAATGCACTGGTATTATTTATTATAATTCACATTTAGCTGTCAATATTATAGAGACTTCCAACTTTTCTCGTTCTAATAGGACGACCTTAAACTTACAGTATGACATTGGTTTATACAATTTGCAATCAGACATATTATACAACATGGACGTAATACGTACCCCTCCACCCCATACTCGCATTGAGTTAATGTGAACTTCAGCAGCTGAATCTAAAATACTCCTTAGCCTTGCTTTTGTAATTCTCTCTTGAAAACTGTCTGCTGGAATCCAGTTAGTTCCCTTGAAAAATATTGGCACATTGTTGACTCGGTAATAGAATGTTAAACCTTAAACGAAAGATGAATATGAGTTATACATTGTTTTAGTGTTTCTCTAAATCTTTCATGGCTTAATATTCTGAAATGAAATGAAATGAAATGGGGTTTAACGTCCTACTGTTCTGCTCCGAAACTGGGCTAATGAAGACCGGCATACGCCATACAGTGCGCTATGAGGGAAATTTTGCCCGGGCAGCGGCACTATCGCCTACTCTTATATCGAATTCCAACTGCCAAGGGATCTTTTACGTGCATTCCAATGTATACACGGGGCCTCGGTTTTTCGTCTCATCCGAAGGACTAGACAGCTGTCCTTATCAGGCCCTCCGTCCTGCATCACTGACAAGGGGGAACCACGCCGGAAAATCTAGATGAACTTTCTCGGCCAATGCAGGGATCGAACACCCGACCTCCAGGCTAGCGAGCCAGCGTCTAATTACAATAAATTAAGTACCTTGGGATGAATTACCGGATACTGGTTCTTGTACAAGTTCGATTGTTCTGAATCCAAGTCTTACTGTTTTCTGTGCCATTTCATCACCGCTAATAAACTGAACATTTAAATAATATAGAGCCTGTTCTCCATATCCATTTGGCCACCACAAATGTATAGGGAGTTCCTGTTTAATTAGATAGAAACTGATTTTAACAATTTCTGTACAAAGTTTCAAGTAGAAATTTTATATTTCTGAGAATTACAGGAACAGGTACTGCACATTCACTAAATATGTTCTTTAAAAATGTCGGTATATCATGTTTTTTTGCTACTTAACACGGGGCGCTTTAAGCTTATCACATTCTTTATTTTTGTACATCCTACGTTTATTTATTACCTATATACACTAGCGTTTCCCAGGTTGTTTGATTACAGTGGATTGGATTTTTATACCACTGATTAAACAGTTCCTTTTTTTTTCCGATCGGAAATGCAGTAATTTACCGGTTTTACTTTTATATAATACGGGTATTGATGTTTAAATTATTTCACTTGAAATTTATGGTATTATAAGGATTTTACTTTCCTTACAACAAGCAACCTGTACAAAATGAGGACCTATAGTAACATGTGTGAGCCTACCTTTGGAACAGCAAATCTATACAAAAACTCCGATTGTACAGTTGATACTGATATTGTTCTTGATACTAACTTAGATGATGTTAGCCCTGCTAATTGTAAGCTTGTCTTGAGTCTACCTGTTGTGTTCATATTGTTCACATCTAGATACAGTTGAATATCAATTGACCATGTACTGTTTACTGAAATTTAAAATCAAATCGGTACGTTTTTTTCTAAAACCTAACATATACTTTCTGGGTGCACTATAGGTTTTTTACACCCGGCACTTTATTCACGAAAATTTAAACTAAATTATTTTAAGGATGCAGCATTTTCATCGGTTGAATGTTAAAATTGTTGTACAAATTTTAGCCAATGAAAACCTCGCAATCTTAAAACATTTTATTTTTGTTTTTCGTTAATAACGCCCCGGGGCTGTGGATATTCAACGTGCTTTGGATATTTACTCAATTCTTTAATACTGGAAAATACGTAAGCACAATGCATATTACGGAATTGACTAATCGAATACAGAACAGTGAAGAATATTACATAAATCAAGATAATAAAAGTCTCTGGTCGCCATTTTAGATCCCCTGCAAACTTATATACTATGAAATTTGAATCTCTAAAAGGAATATCAGTCCAAAATTGGATTAGTTTCGTATTTACAAAGATGTAATTAATTTAAGATTTTATTAACGTTCCCTCCTTGATGGGTCTCTTTGTAATCCGGTGGGAAATTATCTACCTGATGATTGGGGTTAATTTTTTTATTAATTGTCAAATATTCAATTAAGACGAGAAACATTATTATACTATTCGAAAAATGGAACTGACGATCAGCGATTTTAACAATAAGTTACCACGATTCATGAAGTTTTTAAAGTACATGTAGGTCTCGAGGAACGACAGACGGAGAAAACGACAATAACTCTGGACTTTGGTGTATGCGAGAGAGAGAGAGAGAGAGAGAGAGAGAGAGGGTTTAACGTCCACTCGACACAAACTAGGTCATTTCGGGACTAGAGAGAGAGAGAGAGAGAGAGAGAGAGAGAGAGAGAGAAAGAAATGGGGTTTAACGTCCACTCGACACAAACTAGGTCTTTTCGGGACTAACAAATGGTTTAATTTTATTTCAATAATTCGCTTGCGCATAGGGGTCTTTAGCAGTGGGAGGAAACCGGAGCACCCGGAGAAAACCCACGAGGTTGGACAGGCGACCCTACTCCTTGTCACGTACAACCGGGGATTCGAAACCACGCCAGTCGACTCAATGACAGACTTTATGATACAGCGCGCGCACGCTAACCATTCAGCCATCCAACCATTTCGGGACTAACATATGGTTTAATTTTATTTCAATAATTCGCTTGCGCGTAGGGGTCTTTAGCAGTAGGAGGAAACCGGAGGACCCGGAGAAAACCCACGAGGTTGGACAGGCGACCCTACTCCCTGTCACGTACAACCGGGGATTCGAAACCACGCCAGTTGACTGTATGCGAGAGACTTACCTAATAGAGGCGTAGCTGTGAGTTCTCTAATAACACCAGTATTAAAGGCATCGATTGAAATATTCTTCCTGGAAACAAAAATGAAATTTGTCATAGAAGGTATCACATGAGCCCATGATTAGTGGCACAGACGCCAATTCAAATCGATTAGTTTACTCTATATATTCATATCATCGTATATAACACAAACCCATGATTCAAGTCGAGTCTCGTCTATATATATCATATTAAAATAAATCTGAAATATCAAGAAATGTTCATGTAGTTTACAGATCATTGTTGAACATATTCTGTCTTACAGACACTCTCTGATCGATACCATTTATAATATTGAATTTAATAATATTTCATGAAAATTTATTACCAAATTCCTTGTCCAGGGAATGATGGTCCCCAATCCCAACTAAACGAACATTGTTCCTTTCTTATAAAGTTTCTGTGACATTCACCATTTTGTGCTGGATTAGGGCAATCTGGCGGAATATCATAGGATGAGTTTTTAGCCAGTGCATCCGCCATTAATACAGCTGATTTAAACTCTATTGTTATATTATTACTACCAACCTATAAATAATGGTAATAATAATATTTAATAGTTATTTAACAATGTATACAACTAAGCCCAATCTACGTATATAAAATCATAACTAAATTGTATGTCCTCCGTGCATTAAAATATATATGATCACTCCCACCAAGAAAATAAATAAAATAATTACCAAAGATCAAAGCACTTGCAGATTTACTTATTTTGAGTGGGCATTCGTTAAACTAGTTGAAAACCACAAAAAAGTATACGATTCGGAGAGAGAGAGAAATGGGGTTTAACGTCCACTCGACACAAACTAGGTCATTTCGGGACTAACATATGGTTTAATTTTATTTACATAATTCGCTTGCGCGTAGGGGTCTTTAGCAGTGGGAGGAAACCGGAGGACCCGGAGAAAACCCACAAGCTTGGATATACGATTCGGAACATCTCATGAAACGATTGGCAGAATTGTCTCAAATGCATGATGTATATAATATATTGTCAAATCACGCAAGTCCTTTTTTCATTAACTGACCATAAACAGGAAAGTGCTAATAATGTTTCTATGTTGCGGCAAAGCGTCTTAATCATAAATGCCGGTATGAAGTACTCATAAAGAGGTATATCTTGGCAGGTCTGTAAAAAAAAACTGCGAATCAGATAAACCAAAGTTGTTGAAATTGGATTGTTTGCGAAATCTAAGACAAATATTCGCCGATTGCCTTAATTCATTATATTACAGCATAATGGTTTTCAATAAAACGTTCCGAAAAATACCTTACTCGAAGTTGGCAGATGCTTAAGTATCGATAATTAGGTAGGTCTAATGTCAATTTGATTCAATTTGAAATTGATAGTGTCTGGTTTAAAAGTAATTTAAAAATTCGACTGTAACATGACTGCCTCTATACTACATGTTAAAATGTAGATCAAGATTTTTGAATGACTAGGGCTTAAAGATGATCTCAGTCTATAATTTCACGGTGTTCTTTTAATTTGACTTTTAAGTTCACACTAAAGATAGCTACCTCACCCTTGAGATGATGATAAGTTTGGGCTATCAATATTGCACTATCAGTTTAATTGTCTTACCTTGAGGAAGTTCTTTATATCATATACGTATCTTATAAACATGTTGTTTGTTGTCGCCAAATTCGTCTGTCCATTAATGATAATAGTAGCAAACGTATCTAAACCTTCCGCTACCAGAATAACTGATGCTTTTGATAATATTTCAGCAGTGACTGAAGTGGAAACATATTTTAAATTTCGACTACGGGTTGTATTTTATTCTAATGAAAACTGTAAAGGCTTAACAACCTTGCTAGTCCGTAAAATTTCTAAAATTTCGAATTATTATTTTATAAACATGTCGGCGTGAAATCAAGATTAATTTTAAAAATATTTAGTTAGACTTCTGATGAGTGATCTTAGGCTCTGACATTTAATATGATATTTTGATATTTTTAAACATACATTATGCACGAGCTAAATCTGCCAATTGCAGTTCTTTCTTTAGGCCTGAAATGTTATCTTAATTATTAATTAGACATTAATTAACTTATCCAGACCATAATCAACTCTCGGTGTCGTCGCTAGCCTGCTAGCGATTTTGATGATTAAATCAAAAATTGGATAATCGAGACTATGTTTTTTATCGTACCGACTTCAGTAATGATGATCGAGGCTAGGCCAAAAATTCAATCGCTAAATTCTCGGTTCAGAGTGGATCAGTTTGACTGAAATTTTCAGCAAATCCTCATTACATTATCTAGTTTTTAACTACTATAGTGAGAACTGTCAGCTCTTTATCTATAATCTCCCATAATGTATCTTTAATATATTCAAATGATAATAAAAAAAATCCCTCGTGAATAAAGTTATCGATCTAGAGATATGACATTTGATCGTAACATAAGCTCAAAGTTTAAGGCTTATATTTTCAAATTTAGTTATATGACTTTTGATAGAGTATGGGCTAAGACTCGGATATTTATTTTGGCATGTTGCAACTTTAAATATATAAAACTGACAATAGAAAACCTCATGAAGTTTTCGAACTAGAGATATGCAAGTCGATCAAACTAAAATTCAACTAGTTATTATATATATTGTTGGGTTGTTTTTGTGATAAATATGCAATGCTGACTCAAGAACAATACCACAATACAGTAACGGTGAGGAACATAATCGTTTGACAAATAAATAATTGAGGATAAAATATTAAAAAAGTGCAGACACCTTTGCTATGTAGCTATGTACATGTATATTATAGCGATCTCGAACAAGAAGTATACCGCCACTGCGAGTAGGCTACTCGAAAAAGGGATATACATGTATTTGCATTTGCACCACTTAAGGGGGGTTTATACAGAGCGCGAACGCGAACGCGGCTTTTCGTCCTGGAATGCTCTAGTCATTTTTAGAGGCCCCGTCCATACAGAGCGCGAACCCGAACAAATATTGGTTCGCGCGAACGACCGTCCTGATTGCCTCCCGAGCGAATTTTTCAGAAGTTCGCGCGAACTTTTTCCCAATGAACCAATCAGCGGGTACTTCCCATGACATCATTTCCCCGAATAGAAACCGCTAGGCCTGATCGTTCCCACTAGTGTGCAATATTCACAGTCAACTTGTAAAAGCAGAATGGACAATACAGTTCTTCTACGAGGTGATGGTATTCTCCAAACTCACTTCTTCTCTGTAAAATTTCATGCACTGATATTCGCCTCTTTCTCTTCCTTCGTTGTTTTATGTACAAATACAGTGCCAAGAACTCGTCTGTGTCTGATTCCACCTGAGCCATGATAGCAAATGACAAAATTTATCTCTTACAGCTAGAAAAAGACAAGCCATCACGAAAGCTGTCGACGGTTTTCCGCGTTCGGGTTAGCGCCCTATTTGAACGGTGAAACTGCTCAAAAGTCGCGTTCGCGTTCAGGTTCGCGATGGACGCGTTCGAGTTCGCACTCCGTATAAACAGGGCTTTACATGGTTACAATGGCCCTGCTTGATTTGTCTATACCGGCGCATACCGACTGACCATAGTTCGGCAATATTAGCGGCGAGGTCACTTGACTTAAACAGAAGTCTACAAAAGTTCGGCTGCGGCGTATGCGTCGCTTTGGCGGGGGCGGCGAATATCACTTCAGCGGCATACGCCGTTTGCAAACCGGCTCGCCTATCGGCGGATAAATCAAGCAAGCCCACTGTGTCCATTGGCCCTAATGTTATCGTCTGCCCCCATTGGCTTCTTAAAATCTAGCTTTTAATACTGCACCAGTTTGCGTTTGTGTTTTCGTGATAGTTTCCTCCCACTGCTAAAGAACCCTACGCGCAAGCGAATTATTGAAATAAAATTAAACCATATGTTGGTCCGAAATAACCTAGTTTGTGTCGAGTGGACGTTAAACCCTATTTCCCTTTCCCGTTTTCGTGATATGGCCGTGTTTTCTCAGTTTTATTAATTATCAATTATATACCTTCGAAAGTTCTTGTGTAAGTCCAGTCTTCTCGCCCAATCCACTTGTAATTAGCATCATTATCCCTATAATAAGGATCACCTATGATGTTACTCTCAATTAATGCTGTATATACTGAACCTGGAACGGTAGCTGGAATTCGATATCCTTCAAATAGAAATTAAAACTCAGTCAGTCACTAAAAAGTAAAATAATGATAATGGGACATACCAGCAACAACTTTAAAGATGCACACAACACCCCGCCAATTCCAAGAAGACTATGCGGGAGAAACGAATAAGCTTACGCTTTTTGGACAGAATACCCAAGTCGGAATTTTATAGTCTACACCAAAACCGGTCTATAACTTTATGAACAAAACATGTTTGCGATTTGACATACAATTTGATCATGATAACATTACAGGTTTGCAAAAACAAAACATTATTATACGCCCACATTTTCACGTGGCGTATTGTCGTCACCCGTCCGTCCGTCCCCAATTTTTATCCGATTTTGATGAAACTTGAAATATAGGTTTATCGACTAAAGATCTCGTTTCCTTTTGATATTGGCATATATCGGATCGTAACGTCATGGCCCCTGATTGTACGAAAAGGGCACTTTTTTGTTTTTAGCTTGTGGACAGTCTAGAGGTCACAGTATCCGATTTTGCTGAAACTTGAAATGTATGTTTACCACCCAAAGATCCCAGTTTCTTTCGATATTTGGACCGTAACTTCCTGTATTAAGGTCCCCGATTGAACGAAAAATCGCGTTTTTAGCTTATGGTCCCTCTAGGGGTCATATTTGTTATCCGATGAAAAATAAATGCTTAAATGTATCAGCGCTACACCATAATGCCGGTTGAGTTTGAATTTTGTGAAAATCGGAACGAAACTCCCTGATAAAATGACCGCTCCTTAAAGTATGTAATATCAAGGTTGTGGACCCTCTAGAGATCACAATTTTGATCTGATTTTGATGAAATTTACAATAGAAGTTTATATCCATGAGATTTCGGTTCGCATATATTGGACCCTAAATTCCAGAATTATGTCCCCTGGTTGTATGAAAAATCTCTTTTTTGGGGACGTAATTTGCATGGCAACCGCTTGTTAACCAATTATGTTAACAAGCCTTGCGTGCAAACGAGTTGACTTGATAGACGTTATTCTTCAGAAGTATGTTGTCAAACCTTGGTATTGTGGAGATGAATCACCATACACCTCTCAGCAAAGTTGAATTGAATCTTAGTTTAAATCAATTTTAATCGAAGATAAACTCGCGCAGATATAAATAATCTTACCTCGCTTAATATTTAATACTTCCCATTGCCCATTTAGATCAATGGCAGGTGTACAACGAGTAACATATACATGCACCGATAGAACAAGTATAACACACCAATGAACTGCCATAGTGACAATCGTGTCGTTACTGCGGCTAACTCAAGCCGTCTCCTTATTTCTTTAATATGGTCTCGACTTCATGTTACTATTTTTAGACAAAGTTTCACATATCACGAGACGATCTAGTCACATCAATAAATAGGTTCTCGATTTTTCTAATTTCTATATTTACCTAGGCATTTAATTGTAATTGAAAATTTTGCACACTCAGTCTGTGTATTTTTGTCATACGATAAGATAAGATAAGATATAATAAGATGTTATTGTTTCGAAACATCCATTTAGGACAGCATACAATATAAACATATTATAAACAACAATGTTGAAGTTTTAAGATATGTTAAATTGTGTTTTCAAGTTAACACGTCAATAGGTTTACATTGGCCTATTTAATAGTTTAATATATTTGATAATTTGACACACTTAGGTTGATAACTATGTTGAAACTTTAAAACATCTCATATAATGATTTTAAGCATACACGACTATATGGATGGAGGGATTTGTTCGAGAACCGGTACAAATTTGGTAAGATCCCATTTCATTACTTCTACGTGTATAAATATAACAATTCCAAATGTACTATTTTACATGTAGTTATTTGAAAAGAATAGCGTTCATTAATTTGAAAAGAATTAAATACAATACTAAAAGTTTTATTTCAACCAATCATTAAAATACAGATCTATATTTCGTTTCGTTTTTTTTTTTTTTTTTTATACTTTCGATGGCCCCCATTATTTGACCGGTTGTAGTCGAAGGTCGTGTTAGCGGCCATACGAGCGGCTTTTTTTCCTATGACGTCAATTGTTTTTTTCAGACAACTAGTATCATTATGTATAGCATTCGTTGTAAAACTAATTCGGAGAGATTTTGATTTAACAGTTTTTACATATTTTTGAAACGGGTTCCGAAGAGTTTTGGTTCTGTTATGCAAGATCATTTTCCACGTTCCAAAGTAAATGTTCGGTTCTAAGACCACCCAAAGATATTTTATTTTACGCTGACATTTATTACTTTAAATCTTCCTAGTGCTAAAACGGAAAATGTGACCTTTGACCTCTGGGGTAACAAAGAACAAAGGTGAATTTAGCAAGTTTACATTTTTATTGAAAGTGTGATTACTTTCGATCATTTTCAGCTTATTTTCATGATACAAGAATGACTGCGCATTCACTTTCAGTGCAGATGAACCCATTTGACTTTTGACCACGAATATCTCGAAAAAGCCCCAACGGCGGACTGATTACCACTCGGCATTGTATTCTACGCAAAAAATTACTCTTGGGTCTGGTTTTGTGCCCATTTGATGCCCTCCCACCCCCGCCCCCATCAAGCACTGAGCCTCCAGACAAATGAGCTGTGTTTTAATCAGATTGTATATTAACATAATCATATAAATCACAATAAGGTGTCCCTTTCGGAAACGAGTGGTTCAAAATTACCTCGGTTATCGCCATGTCTGAACTGGTGCTCTTTGTTTCATTGTTTCACATGTACGAAAAAAACACAATAATTTATCTACCAATACATCAGCAATCAACAAGTCCCTCCTGTTTGGTATAGATAATCAGGCTACAACTAATCATATCTAAAGGGCATTTAGTGAACGGGATATATACTGTAATAAACTGACAACTTTATGGATAACATTCACTAGGTTTATTAACTGCAACGTTTCAATGAGGATACTCTCACCGTTGCTTGATAACAGTGTGAGTATCCTCATTGAAACGTTGCAGTTAATATTTTGATGTCATCAGTTGTTTCAATATTTAAGATTTTTTCTTATCTGATCAGTTGATTTATGTTATAAAATAGCACTTCTTTTTATACGCCCACATTTCAGCTTGAGCGTATTATGTCGCCACCCTGTTCGTCGGTTAATTTGGCATGTGAACGAGATTAAGGGTAAAGTTTTTGTCGGATTCTTTCCAAATTCGGTGTAAAGCACCGTCGTCATCAGAGGACATGCCCTATTGAGTCGACTTTCATCGTTCTACGGCTCCCCGTTCCGGAGTTATACCCCGTTTGTCTGAACGTGTCAGGGGCTACATTTTGTAACGATTCTTTTTTTCAAATCTAGTTGTAAGCATTGGGGTCATGAGAGTACAAACCCTATCGATATTCTGTGTACCGTGACTTTCGGTTTCGGGGTTATCCACGCCCTCCTGTCGAAAACCTTGTGAAAACAATAGAGGCGTTAGTTTTTAACAGGTGTTTTTTTTATATTTGGTGAGATTATTTGTTGATGTTGATTTTCAACATTCTGCGAACAAAAAACAAAAAACAAACAAAAAACAAACAAACAAACTAATAAACGCAATAAAGACAATAGTTTGTATTGGATCTCCGTGGTAATTGGCTTTAAGCATTAGGGTCATCAATCCCTATCGATATTCATAATCCGCAGCCTTCCGTTCCTGAGTTATCCCCCTTTGCGATAGAGGCTATACGTTTTAACAGATTTATTTTCAAATTTGGTTGGAAGCAATGTAATCATAAGGGAATGTAGAGATTAGATTTCATTAAGGATCCTTATCAAATCTGCTCAGCAGCTAAGTTTCTATTTTGGATAAGCTGCAGCTGGGACAAAGGTGCTGTCCATTTTTGCTCATACTGAAGGTATGTACTGAGATAGGCATTGATGTACTCGAGATGTGTTTTGCGGGTAATGTGAACTGTATCACCAAAAGCATATACTAATTCCATGCCTCAGACCTTTTGTAATCGAGATGCTAATTAAATATTTGCTAGTTTCTGGGCTAAATAGTAGGAGCAGGAGGACCGCACCACACAACACAACAAGGGGTTGGCATGCAAGCTACGCCCATATTTTACAAGAGTTAGACAGAGAACGAGCTAAAATAGAAAACGATTGTTTGTACAATCAGGGGCCATAATCCAGGGAGTTACGGTTCGATATGCATGAATATCGAAAGGAACCGACATCTTTGGGTTATAAACATACCTTTCAAGTGTCATCAAATCGGATAAAAATTATGACCTCTAGAGTGTCCACAAACTAAAAACGTGATTTTTCGTACAATCAAGGGTTATAATCCGATACATTGGGAGATAAACCTATATTTCAAGTTTCGTCAAAACAGAATGTCCACAAATAAATTGCGGACTGGTGCACATCCGGGCGGGCGGACAGGGGCGTACAAAAACAAAAACAACAAGGAAAATCTGCGGAAATGACAGGTGGAACTCTTTCGAAATTCAATTGCTTAACCTAGAGATACATTGAAGTATTTGGAACGCAATACAAGACAGAATTCGCAACAAAACTCGTTTTAATTCTTATTGAACCCACTCAAATTCAAAGAGTTCAGTCTACATATTTTATTTTAAAGCATAGATAGAGTTCACAATGAGATTGTTTTGTTTTGTGTTTTAAACAAACTTGATCTGTAGGATTTAATGATAATGATTATAAAACTAGAACTGGCGACTTTGCTGCTGTAAGATGTTAAGTGACTTAGCAAGTTTATTTAAAGATACATTATGGGAGATTTTTATAGAGAGTTGGCCATTCTTGTTATAACAGTTCAAAAGTAGATAATGAAAGAAGAATATATTGAAAAATTCAGTCAAATTACTTTATTCTGAACATAGTTATCATCGTTGTAATATTTGCCTAGAAATGGTAGCGAAATGTGTCTTCACCTTCGCTGATCGTTTGATTGACAGGCGTTAACTCCACCTACATATCTCGATTATCAAGTAAAGTTTTCAATGGCATACGGAAACGCTTTACAGCGGCCTCGCTAAGTACACTCTATCATTTAGCCTCGATCTAACTGACGTATTTTCATCAGGTTACCCCTTATTTGATTTAATCAATTAGTGAAATCCTATTTAAATCCGAGCTGTAGCTGAGCCATCCGTGGGTCTACAGAGTTGATTTTGGTCTTGTTGTTTAAATAAAGATCTAATTTATAATTTCTATAACATCTGAAGCCTAAATTAAGACTTGCAATAATCAGATTTAGCTCTTGCATAATACATGTTTAAGTTACCAAACTAAATATAATAATATTGATAATTATATCAATATAATTAACCATCTAAATATTGGAGACATGTTGCTTTAAATATAACATCATCTAAATATTACGGAATTCTAAATTTAAGTATTGCAAATTTATACATTTAAACACTATCGAATTAATACATCTAAATAATACAGAGATAATACATGTACATCTAAATATTACATTGCAGAGTTAATGCATCTAAATATTACACAGTTAATACATCTAATCAATATTACAGGGTCAATAAATCTAAATATTACAGAGTCAATACATCTAAATATAGCAGAGTCAATATTTCTAAATATTGCAGAGTTATACATCCGAATATTACAAATATGTCATGTAAATGGACTTGAGATTTGTAAGTAAAGTTCGGTTCAGATAAATCTAAATGTTGCCGAGTTATCCATCCCGATAGACAGTTCAACGCAATTGCCTTGCCAAAAATAGAGTAAACACGAATACTACCCAGATCAATGATATTTAAAGCCAGCGGTGTTCAAAAATAAAAAGTGCTTGATTTATCAAATTTCCAAGATCAATACATGAATCCATTCAAAGTAACTAAGTCTTTAACTGAGTATCGTCCACAGTCGTCGACATTGAAAACACGAATTTATGTCAATTTAAATCAACATTGATGTTGTAATCTTACCTCCTGGAAAAGAAGAGTCTGGTATCCAATATTTAAGACAAAATCAACTTTTTGCATTGGTACACGAATCGTGTACCAGAATGCGTTTCATCGCCATTTGTAAACAGGGTCTCCAAGAACGAGGTTAGACATTTTCCACAAGTCATGTCAAACGGTGACTTCGTATTCTTATCTGGAGTGCATGCGCAATAAATACTACCCGTGTAGAAGTAGACGCTAGTGATTGCCATTTGATTGAGATTTCTCGCGTATTTCGCAGAACATAACTGCTTTGAAATTAGAGTAAAAACGGAAACGATTGAATGTAAATCAGTTTATATACATTCATATTACATTATGCCCCCATCAG